CTGAAGATGGTGCCCAGCAGTCGATTGCGCCAACAGCCGAAGAAGAAGTTGACAAGTCTGAAGATCAAGCAGCTTCTCAGGAAGACCATCCGCCATCAACCGAAGTCGATCCCACGCAGGAAGCCCCGGGTTCTGACGCAAATGCAGATGCTTCTTTTACTCCCAAGGAAGTTGAGGGAAGCAACGAGCTGGAACCAGATACGGGAATCACCGAGACGGTTGAAAAGTTGCAGACTGAAGCTAGTCCAGAGCCCAATGTCGCGGAATCTGATCCTCAATCTGCCACTGGTAATGCTGAACAAGAAATTGGATCCTCCAAGTCTAAGAAGAAAAAGAAGAAGAAGAAGAAGAAGAGCACGACGGCAGAGGCGAACGAAGACACCGATGCAGCGGCTCCAGATTCTGGCATCAACAATGTTCTGAGCGAGCCAGTTACTCCCGTCGAACCTGGTACTCCCGCCGAACTCGGGACTCCCGTTGAACCGGAGATTCCTGCTGAACCCGAGACTCCTGCTGAACCTGATGCGCCTGCTGAACCTGAGCCTTTTGCCAAGCCTGAAACTGCAGTTGAACCAAAGACGCCCATCGACAGTACGATTTCTGACGTGAAGGAATCCGACAAAACCGCTCAGCCACCCGAGAAGCTCGAGGATGAGAACCCTCCCATGTCAGCCAAAGCGAAGAAGAAGGCAAAGAAAGAAAGAAGACGCCAGTCCAAGATTTTAGCCGATGCTACGGAACCTGTCGCGGAGCTATCTCAAACAGCAGCTGCCGAAGAGACCCGTGATTCGAGCGAGGCCCAACTTCCCAGCGAAACCAAGTCCGCGGAACCATCGCTCGAAACGGCACATATACCTGCTGAAGATGACGGTAAAGACAATCAGTCCCACGGCACCGAAAAGCACGGCAAACCCGATGAAGATATGATTTGGACTGATGACATGGTATCTCCGCAGGTAGAGCAAGAACAAGCGACTTCATTCGCTTATTCACCCCAACTCGAGCATGAGACAAGCGAAGGCGACCCGGTTTCCATTCCCTCCGACGAAGCGCACAGACCCGTTGAGTTGGACGCCGATGTGCCAAGTCATACTGAACCGTCAACAGTCAACGAGCTGGAGGAGTTGGGCGACGTACACGAGGACTTGGTCACAGAGCCCGCGGAAAGTATGGAGAATATCCATGATGGGACTAGGGAATTGCCAATGCCGGAGGGGGGAGAGTACAGCAGCGAGCGCAATGAACTTCAGGCTGTTGAGCAGGAGAGGAGAGGGGATACGGAGCAAGCACCAATCGAGGAGGAGCATAGGCAGAACGATGAACAAGCTGCCAGTGAAGAACAACCACTTGGTGCTGAAGGGGAAAGGGGGTCAGCGAGAGATGTTTTAGAAATGGGTGGAGAAGTACTCATGCTAGCACCGGAAACTACGCAGGAAACAGTGTCAACTGAGAATGTACCTGAGATGGAAACTCCCACACCTGATGTGCCATCGAAGAAGAGAAGCAAAAAAGAAAAGAAGAAACAGCGCCAGGCACAACAAGCAGCCAATCTACAGGAAGCAGAGCAAGTTGCCGCAACACAAAACAACGAGGAGGCAATGGATACAGCCCTTCCTGATGATTTGCCAGTGGAGCACACAACACCAATCACGGAGCCTGTTCCGGTGCTAGAGGCCTCACTTGAGCAAGTCATGTCGCAAACGAACGAGAATGAAGCATCAGGTCTCGGTCCCCAGGCAACTGTCACCGCTGAGGGCCACAATGATGAAGCCGGTGTTCCGAACGGTCCCCCAATGGAGTCTACGCTTGACTACAACGTTCAAGAACCAGTTCCTACCACCCCTGTGGAGGCTCCCAAGGCCGACACGCCCGAAGAATTTGTTATTCCCGAGGCTGTTGCTCCGGAGCCTGTCGAAGCAGAAGCCCCAGCCGATACTTGGAAGATGCCAGCAGGCCCCGCCGCCAAGAAAAAGAAAAATAAGAAAAACAAAAAGAAGGATTCTGTTCAAGCAGAAGAGAAAGCTGAGCTACAGGGGATGGTTGAACTCCCTGTTGAGAGCGAAGCAGCCCCAGACAACCAGACCTTCGACCCGCGGGAGGTGACAGAACCACCTTTCGAACAGGTGTTCGAACCCGGGGAGTGTAAAGGCAACTTGGAAGCGGTACAAGACGATGCCGTCCCAGAGGAAAGGCCTAGTGAGCCAGCTGCAGCAACCGAGCTGGTCGCTTCATATGACAAGCCTCTCGAGCAGACACTAGACGCCCGAGAGCCACTTCCAGTGCCGTCAGAGCAAATGATCCAGGAAAAGGAGCTCGCTAGTGATGACAATATCATCTCATCTGTTGCCGAGACAACCGCTGAGATTCTGCGTGAAGTGGCTCAAGAGGGGGCGCCTACGGAGGCGCCCTTGACTCGCAAGGAATCCAAGAAGAAAAAGAAGAAGGCGAAGAAGCAAGCCAAGGATGAACAGGATGCCCTCACGTCTACACCGGCTGAAAGTGCAGTTGCCGCGGAGCAAGGCTTAGGCGAGTGGACGGACAAATCTACTTCCGCTCCTATTCCTGTTGAAGAGCCGAGTAATAGCATCGAAGAGATGCAGGAGACGCAATTGGAAGATCGCACCATGCGATATGGTGGAGATGAGGAACGTCTCGAGACACCGCAGGTTGAGGAGGCACCAGTCCTGACCGAAGAAGAGACTTGCCAGATCGAAGAAATACCGGTTGAGAGTCAGCATGTGCATCAAGAGGAAGGAGATGTCGTTGCAAAGTCAGAAACCGAAGCACTGGAAGAAAAGCATAGCCTTGAAACAGTCGCAGATTTGCCAGAGGCACTTCCGGAACAGGCGGAGATAACAGCTCCCTTGACGAAGAAGCTATCCAAGAAAGAACGGAGGAAGGCTAAGCAGAAAGCTGAGGAGGAACTTGCTGAATCGGTACACCAACCGCAGCCAGAAGTCGAAGCTGGTACTGCAGAAGAGCCAAACTTGGTCCCGGAGCAAGTCGCTGAAGCGCCAGATACATGGGCTGCTGAACAGCCGAAGGAAGATGGGCCTCCTTCGAGATCGCTCTCTCAGAATGAAAAGAAGAAGGAGCGTAGGGAGAACAAGAGTCGTGACGGTAAAGAGGCAGAAGGCGAGGCCTCCCACCAGCAGAATGCCGCCTGGGAGTCTCGCGCACAAGATGACGACTCTTGGCCGACAATAGACTGGGAGAAAAGCCAAGTTGATTCTACGGAACAATCACCTGATTCATCACCCGAGGCTCGTCCAATTCCATTCGAGCCAGGCATCGCAGAATTTGATGAGTCTGCCACACCCGAAGGTGTAACCCGGCGTCTGAGTTCAGCTGCAGCCAGAAAAGCCAAGCAAGCTAGGGCATTTCAACAGAAACAAGGCGACGACAGGCCGGCTTCCTCCGAAACAACCGATGGGGGCTCTGGACAAGCAATCGAAACAACAAGCGAGCCTAAAGAAGATGCCGCTGTCATTGAGCCAGCTTCGGAGCATACCGCACGCGAAATGAAAAGCACCGAATCCCTTGGTTCAGACTCACATCAGAAAAGCAAGGTTGCCAGCATTTTTCCCGAACTGGAGCGAGGATTTTTCCGTCGACCTGCGCTAGTCGAGGCGGCCGGGTCAGCAAAAGATGGGGCTGAGGAAGAGACTATTGACAAGGAAGCGAATCGCGACAGCGAGAAAGTCTTGGAAGCGCCCATCGCTACTACGGCCGACTACCTTTCCTCGGCGCAGGATGATCGTAAATCTACTACGGGACAGGACCAAACCGAGGAATTCACACCTACCGAGCCTGTGCTTGAGGTTGAAGCGGATCCGTCATATAACGTGTCTGTGCTTTCAGACGGACCAAATGAGGAATCCAGGCAGATTGACATACGGTGGGGAGAAGACAAGGACAATGAGACCCCCAAAGACATTGAGGCTAAAGCTTCGGGAGCCGATCCCTCCACTCACGACGAGACTCCTCTATATGCTCCATTGCCCGTGCATGAGCGACAGTCGGTACTTGTGCGGCCCTCACCTCGAATCGATACGGCAATCGAGCAACACTCGTCACAGTCGAGCCCGCCGTGTGAGCTACGGCGCAGCCCGTCCATTCATGGACGACATAACCATCCACCGCGGCCGTGGTCGTTGGAGGTTGAACCGAACCCTCAAGCACGGACACCCTCGCCGCAGGCGCCACTTCTCGAAGGACCAGGCGGGGTGGATCGGGAGACTGTCTCGCCTCCGCGGACGCCATTGCAGACGATCGACGAGGATGAGCCAAGAGGTCGAGCGGAGCGATCCACCGGCGCAAGAACCGTGGGTCACGGCCGCGGCACGCCCCGTCTGGAGATGAAGCCGGAGCATGTGCTGCCTCGTCCCGAAACCCCGGTCCGGAAGTTTACCGATAATGCGTTGGCACGTCAGGCGTGGCCAACCCCAGACAGGGACACGTCGTTTGACGAGAGCACGGACGTGGATGTCAAGAAGCGTAGGCCTGAGAGTCGCGTGCTGAACAGTGCCTGGCCAGCAGAGGTGCTCCGGACGCCAGAACAGGGCATGCCGGTTCTGCGGCCCAGCAGCGTGCGAAGTGTGCAGAGCATCCAGGAGCTCAGCCGGTCGCTGCGGCGCAGTTCGCGTAGCGCCAGCGGCGATTTGCGGGCGGCGGCGGCGGTCAGTCAAGAGCAGCCGAGCGACGACCAATCAGAGGGCAAGGCCCAGCCTCCCGCTTCTTCTTCTTCAGCGTCGGACCTCAACCTCGAGCGCATCGCCTCTTCTTCCTCCTACGACCCCGTCACGGACAAGGGCAAGCGCCCCCTTCGAACCATGACGGATGTCTACGTAAGTGCTGCTCGCTGACGTTAAAAAATTCAATAACGCTTCAGACGCATCCGTTGGCTAACCGTCGTGTGCTTACTGTAGGAGGGTTGGGGTGAGACGCCCAGCTCGCCCCGGTCGCCTAGCCGACCGCCCAGCGTCCGGCACCGTCGAAGTATGCAACACCTACAAGAACTGGAGAGCCGTCTTGACCGATTGATCTCGGAAAATCGCCTGCTGGTTGCAGCCCGAGATGAAGCCGAAGACAAACTCCGCAACGTCAGCGTCGCTCGACGCAAGAGCGACCATGCACTCAACAACCGCGACGCCGATCTGCGTGACCGGGCCGCCGAGGTGGAACAATTGAAGAGCTCGCTGGAATGGTTCCAGAAAGAAGTGGCCCGGCTGACGGAAGAAAACGAGGGGCTGACAAAGACAAGTTCCAACCTCACTGCCACTCACGCGCAGGAGGTCCAAGTGATGCAGGATACGTTCAGTCGCCAGGTTGATGAATTGCGCTCGGAAAATCAACAGCTGTCGGCGGAAATGCACGAGCGGGTGCGACAAGAGGTGGACACGGCGTTGGCACAAAAGGATATGGAGCTGCGACGGCTGCGGGAGGACCTGGAGACTGCCCGCGACAAGGTGAAGCAACTACAACAACAGATCGCAGCGGCCATGCAAGACGACGTCCTTGTCTTCCGCGATGAGGACTATTTTGATGCTGCGTGCCAGAAGTTATGTGGTCACGTGCAGCAATGGGTCCTCCGTTTCTCCAAACATTCCGATCATCGTCGCTGCCGCAAGCTCGGCGACCTGCAAGATGAAAAGATCGCCGACCGGTTCGACAACGCCATCCTGGATGGCTCCGATGCCGATACCTACCTCGCCGATCGGGTGCGTCGTCGTGACGTGTTCATGTCTGTTGTCATGACCATGGTGTGGGAATTTATCTTCACCCGCTATCTGTTCGGCATGGATCGCGAGCAACGGCAGAAGCTCAAGTCTCTGGAGAAACAGCTGGCCGACATTGGCCCGCGCAGTGCTATCCATCGGTGGCGAGCCACGACCCTGACACTGCTCTCGAAGCGGCCCACCTTTTCGAAGCAGCGTGAGAGCGACACCGAAGCTGTGGCTCTGGAGATCTTCGACACTCTGTCGCGTCTCCTCCCGCCCCCGACCAATGTCGAGGCCCAGCTTCTAGACTCCCTCCGCAAGGTGCTCCGGGTCGCGGTCCACCTATCTATCGAGATGCGTACGCAGTTGGCGGAATATATCATGCTGCCGCCACTGCAGCCCGAATACGACACCAACGGGGACCTGGCCCGGCAAGTCTACTTCAACGCTTCCTTGATGAATGAGCGCAGCGGTGAAACCATCTCCAATGACGTCCTGGAATCGCAGCAGGCGGTGGTACGGGTTGTCCTATTCCCGCTGGTGGTGAAGAAGGGCAATGACCGGGGCGAAGGCGACGACGAGGTGGTGGTCTGCCCGGCGCAAGTGCTCATTGCTCGGCCCAACAAGGACAAGAAGGTGGTCAAGATGCTGAGTGGTGATCGCATGTCCCTAGATACGTCGAGATCGGTCCACAGCATCGCTCCGTCCTCGACCATGGACATGAGTAATGTCATCTGAGGCGTCACACTCAGCTCTGGCGACTCATGATCTCTGGAGGACGGCTGCACCCTTGGATGGGAAACCCGATCCAATGAACTCCGAGGGATCCCACGATTTCTTTTTCTTTCTCATTGGCTACAATACGGCAGGCGTCAGGGTCCGGCCGGATGGATGGAAGCCGGATTTCAAAATGGTAATGAATAATGCTAGGAAGGTTGTTTACAGCGTGTTATTTCTGTTCGATTATATCCCCTGTTTGATATCACATTTTTTCCTTATCTTTATTTTATTTCTGTGCTACCTTTATGATGTCTATGATGATGCCCAATATCCACCTTAGAGCTGACGATATGACGGCCGTGGTTTCTGTTTTCTCTTTTTGGCTTCCCCGCGGTTGTATAATTGTGATTGTTAAGGATGTACATGATGAGACCATGAAGTGTTCGTCTACTCCGTGCTCCCAGTCGTAGGGATCCTGCCCGTCGTCCATTACCAGCCTCATCCTGGTCTCTGGGGTGGGATGGAGTGCCGCCCTTGCCTCATGTCCCCCCACACTCCCCTCGCCCCTCGCCCCTCGCTCCCCCATCTCCAACCTCCCCCCTCCCACCTGAGCCCTCATACAAAGTAGGCCGGCTGCATACCCGTTCACCTTGCATGTGCTATCTCATTATAACGGATTGTCATTCGGATCCGAGTGCACATCACCGCCGTCGGTCCACCCTCGACTCCGTGCATGGTGCTGCTCTCCTCCACCCCACGGCAACCAGGCTACCATCTAAGATAGGTCATGGCTTTCGGTTGCCCGGTCTGATCATCAGCGGTGCATTGCATGTATTGATCACGATGTCTAATGCAGCTGCATCCGATCTCTCCCAGCCCCAGCCCCAGCCCCAGCCCCAGCGCCCCCTCTCCTGGGTACTATAGACGATCGGATCCAAGCGGTATGCTGTAGGATCAGGTGATATGGGCCTGGCGGGGAGAGGTATATGGCTATTTGGGGTTGTGGGTACGGATTAGGATTAATGGTGTGCGAGGGGTGCCTCAGGCGGAGATTTGTGTATTGTATTGGCGATGACTGGCAGGTTGGTCTACTGTACTACGGTACTATGAGTTGGGGTGTCATGCCATGAATCTTCGTCTGCGGTATCCTATTCATCAGATAGGGGGTGGACATGTGGTCAGCCCGATGGCAGCCATCATCTAGTTACTACTGTGTACTCCGTCAGCCTCCCTCGTCTCCCCATTCCTCTCTACAGAGTACCTATGACTTCATCATTCTTTGTAGTTGTCTGTGCACCGCTGAAACATTTCGCTAATGAAGTGGATATCCTCTCCTTTCCAGCGGGGCTGGCCATAGCCTCTGTGTACCTCACGCAGCGTGGACAAACTCATCCCATTGTAAACCCGTCTGTGCTGCCTGCCACATGGCCCGCCCCGACATCTGAAACCTGGGCTGAGCGGGTGCCTGTTTCGCTGCTCTGTTTTGGGTTCGATGTTTGGCAATGCGTTGGGAAGGCAGTCGAGTGTCGTGTCACCTTGGATTCATTATTCTAATTTCTTGGGAGTTTCTGCTGGCTGGTCCTTGCGTTCTTGGGAGTTTAATATAGTGCTGAGTAGATTGTCGACGGTTTGTGGCTGTGTTTTGCCACGGAGGGGGGTGTATTGTGCTACTGTGTATGTAGTCAGTATGTCATGACTCGGACTTCGCGATAGCACGTGGGAAGCCTAAGAGGGGGCAGCTCCACAGCCGGGATGGACGGAAAGTGGAAACTGGGAAAGGAAACCAGATCCGGACGATGAGGTCGTGTTTCGAATGCCTTGGGAATTAGGATTGGCAGGGATCAAACAGTTCCAGGGAAGGAAGGGAAAGACGGAGGAAGGAACGAGGATGAAGTCATCATGACCCCCCCGGCCGGATGGGTTCGGCCGTGACGGCCCGTATGGTCACAAAGAGGCCCCGTGGCTGGTAAGATTACCGCGGCGGAGGTCACCGCCCGTATCAGAGGTCCAGAGTTCGGCGCCAGTTTCAGCTCGGCTTCACTTCCCTTCAACAACATTCGGCCACCCTGCTTATCCTCTTTTCTTCCGTCCCCTCTCTCCTCCACCCCTCTCTTGTCTTCTTTCGATGCTTTTTTCTTTTTTTTTTCTATCTCCTCTCTTCGCTCTCTTGATTTCTCTCCTGCCTACGGAGTACCTGACCAGTCACCCCGCCTCTCGCGCAGCGGTCTAAGTAAAGAACTTCCCGTTCCTTGACGTGGGCGGCTATCATTGGGCCTCGCGGGGCCCTCCCCTGACTGGCCGATCGGGTCCGGGTCGATTCGATTCTGACTTCTTCTGCCTTAGTCCGTCCACTACCACCTTAGTCCTGCCTGACCGTCCTTCTGCTAGACGGCTAGACGGCTGCGATCTGCTGGATGCCCCGGTTACTGGCGACGGGGTCTCGGTACGCTCTTAGTGCTCACTAAACCCTCCCGACTAGCTCGGTTCATGGCTGGCGGCGTGCGCATCAAAGGCCTTGGTGAACTTGACGGCTGCCAATCGCGACCAGATTCGGTCCGGGGCCAATTCCTTGCGTCTGACAGCCTGTCGAAACCTGCGAAACCTGCCTGTCGTCCGCCATTCCTCGTCCTCGTCCTCCTCCTCCTCCTCCCCCCCCGCCAGTTACCCAATCGCATCCCATCCACCACCCGTCCGCCGCCTCCCTCTGGATCGACACCGTTCCTCCCCGTGAGCTAACGCGCTCAGAGCTTGTTCTAGACGTTCCATCTCACCGTCTTCTGATCGAGTTATGTGCACGGCTGCGCCCGCGTTGACGGCTTCGGTCTGCCTGGATTATTACTTGGTTTCCTGAAGTCCTGGCCATCAATAAACATTTCCCTCCGCGCCGTGGCTGCATCTCTTCCCTTCGTCTTCACCACCACCACCACCACCCCCCCTCCCCTCCCCTCGGCTCCTCTCCTCGCGCTGTCCATACTTCGCCCCGAATTTGGTAATCTTAAGGCCAGCAGCAGCATGTGGCTGTCGTCCATTCGTCCTCGCCTTCTGTTGACTGTGTAACGTGGTTTTGGTACGACAAACAGACGTCCACCGTCCTGCCCTCGTCGAACACGGCGGCCACTTAGCTCTCGCCGTTTTTCGAGCCCCCCCCCCCCCCCCCCCCCGAATCTCCTGACCCCCGGGGTGGTTTTTGTTTTCTCCTCACTTTCCCCTTTGGTCCCGGGTTTCCCGCCGGTTGGTGGCTCACCGATACTTCATTATTTGAATTTTCCTTTTCTCTTTTTTTTTTTTTTTTTCCCCATCTTCCACCACCCCCCCCTGTCCGGACCCTTGTCCCGGGTTCCCTCTCGGACTTCGTGATTTCTGAAAGGTCTAGTCAGCAAGCTCTGACTCGGCAGAGATCATGGCGGCGGAGTCCGGGAGGTCACCTTATCCCAATGGGACCGCTGGTGGATCTCGTATCGCCCTCGGTGATGAGGCTGCCTTGTCTGCACCACGCCGATCTGTCAGTGAAAGTGACATGATGGAAGTGCCACGTTCAACCTTTCGATCCCAAGCACAGGGCTCCGCCGCGTCACAGCTGTCTAAATTCTCGCATGCGGTTCCTGGCACCTCCGCCGCAACCTCGACCACCAACTCGGCTATATCCTCTCGCGAGTCCTCCCCCGTCCGGTCCTCTCGTCGTCCGCGCAATTCCAGTGCCACCCCCCGTCATTCCTCTCGCTCTCGCAAAGGCAGCCTCGATCGCAGTCCGAATCGTTCCATTGCGACTACCACTCCGGGTTCGGGCACGCTCCCCTCCGCCACCGTCGTGCAACGAACGCTGTCCCAGAACAGCAGACCTCCCGTCCTCAGCCCACCCCCCAATGCCGAAGCGTTCTCCGATGTTCCCAGTCCGGACAAGTCCACCATGCCATTATGGGCCACAACACGGCGGTCGGAACAGGAACCCACGCTTCCGAATACCTCCATCAAACGGTCCGTGCCGCTGCCCGATGACCATGCGGCGAAGCCAGATCGCAGTGCCCCCCGCCCCGTGAATCGAGGGGTCAACGGGCAGGGGTCGGCTCTGGAAACCGTTCAGGAGATGGCCAGTGATCAGTCCACCCCGTCGACCGACACCGTCCTGAACCGCCCCCTGAGTGAGGAATCCCAGTTACAAAAGATCGATGAAGACACCACCCCCAAGGCGTCCCGGTTCCATAACGAGAGTGGCAGCGATAGTGGGGGGAACAAGAGCTCGGAGCCAATGGAGGGCTCTCGCCGTCATGCTGCGTCGGGGCCCCGGGGGACCAATGCCCTGCTCCCCAAGCGATCGTCGACGTCGTTGAGTGGCGGTCCCCGTGCCAAACCCGCGGATGGGTCGGTGCGGAACATGATCGTCGAGACGGAGACCGTCAGCTCTATCCCCCAGGTGTCCCTGGCCGTGGCTACCGGGGACCGTGGCAACACCGGCCGCGTGGATTCGGGCACCCTGCGCATGAAACCCAGCACGGAGACCATCCGCCCCAAGAAGGAGAAGAAGCGGACCCGGAAACCGGCGACTTTGGCCAGCGGCGCGGCCTCCTCCAAAGCGGATATCTTCGAAGCCAAGGTGGCCAGCGCGGTGGACGAAGCCGATGTCTCCGACTCGGACGAAACGTTTGTGTACGAGTCCAACCCCCCCGACCCCTACCCTGTTCGGCAGAATCGGTACCATTCCCGGACCCCGAGTGCGACCTCGATGGCCAGCCAGGTGGATCAGCTGGTGGCGGTGCGCAGTCGTCCGGGGATCCGGGATGGCACGCACAGCGTGACCGGCAAGCGCAGCATGAAATTCACCAACAATACCTACGCGGGCGGCGCAGACGATCCGGGCGAAGAGAGTGCCCGCAGCCACTCCCGCGTCGATGGCGGCAGCACGCATACACCCCGTCACCACCACATCGGGCGCTTCGGTCGCAACAACAACCTCTATCCGTCCCTGTTTGATAGCGAATCGCCGTTCCCGCAGTCGCAGACACACCTCAAGTCCCCGCGGCATTTCATTAGCGGCGGGTACCGGCAGTCCCGACACCCGGGGTCTCGCGCCGGTCCCAACTACCGGACCATCAGCGGGACCAAGAAGTCGAACGATGGCTACGGGTACGATTTCGATGCCGAAGGGGCGGATGACGAGCGGACGCCGCTGGTCGGGTCCCCCCGGGTGACCCGGAGTCGTCACGGTGGCCGGCGCCCCAACAGCGCCAGTCTCCGCCAAATGGAATATATGCAACAGCGGCAGCGCGGATACTTTTCTCGCTACGGTGCCTGTGTGCTCATTAGTCTTCTGCTCCTCCTGCTTGTCGGCGGCGTGACGTCGTTTGTGGTAGCCTCCACCAAGGCCCTCGTGGACGTGCAGATCCTGAACATTCAGAACGTTCTTGCGTCGGAGCAGGAGATCATGCTGGACCTGAGCGTGCAGGCCATTAATCCGAACATCTTCCCCGTGACCATCGATGATATGGATATGAATATCTTCGCGAAGAGTCGGTTTGTTGGCACGGACCAGTTGTGGCGCGACCCCGACTCCCACGGGAGTCTGATTCCCCGAGTGGAGGAAAGCCGGCGACGCGCCGAGCTGGCTCGCCTGGCTCGCTGCGCGGGTGACGTGAGTTGTCAGTCGAATGGAACGCTGAGTGTGCGCGACAAGCACGCGAAGGGGGGTGTCGACAAGGGCACCGATCCCATCCCGAGTGATCCCGCCGGCGACCCGCAGACGATGCTACTCGGCCGGGTCTTCCGCTTTGACTCTCCTCTGTCGTTCGAGCCGTCTCCGTGGAACTACCTGTCGTCGACGTCGAAAGGGCAGATCCGGCTCGCCCGTCCCGGGAACAAGACCGAAGAAGGCGGGACGGAACGGTGGGAGCGGGTGCTTCAGCATGAATTTGACTTGATTGTCCGTGGGGTGGTCAAGTATCAACTGCCTCTGAGCTCCCGGATCCACTCTGCCTCGGTCAGCTCGAGCGTCAAGGTGGTCCCCGATGGGGACAATGATACGGGGGATGGGGATCGCAAGCGTGCCCCGGGGAACAATGACACTGTGGAAATCTCGGGAACCAGGTCTTTCCGCCGGACCGATCCGTCTGAGAGCCGGTCCCTCGAGACGATGCGGAAAGCCATTGGTTTCGTCAAGCGAGCCTTCACGGCGTGATGTTACGTGACCTCTGGCTCCTCCCGATGTCTTTCTCCAATACCTCATCGTGTTGGCCCCGTCTGGACTGAATGACCGGGTGGCCCTTGCTTTGTTGGAGTGTTACTCCTCCCGTCGCCCTCAACGGGTGCAAGGCCCCCTGGTGTCATGGACACCGCGTATGATCGGACGCTTTTGCTTTAACGTCTTTCCTTTGTTGGAGCTTTTATTTTTCAAAAACCTAGCGATTGGTTTTATTTCCCAACTGATGTGTGACGACCTGATATTTCATCATGACACGGCAGCAAAAGCATGGAGAACGGCACAGTTTAAAAAGACGTTATGTATGCATCAGCACGGCGCACTATACACTTTGGGGGATTTGTTTTCTGTTACTTGCAATGTGTCGTTCTGGATGGAGCTTGTTTGATTAGAGGGTGTCGGTGATGGTGCGCGCGTCGTTCTCTCGCCTGTGCATGGCGGGCTCTTGCTCCATGCGTTGTATCTATGTATGTGTGTACATAATATCCCATTATGAGGTGTGTGGATTGTGCCGCATTCGAGTATATGTCATGCCGGTGGCAGTTAATATAATTGTATACAACCACTTCCACGTTTTTATCATCGAGTCCATTTCCCATCCTGTACGCATATCCCGAACCTCTAGATCTACCGTATAGCAGTATAGCAGTATAGCAGTCACAGATCCCCCTCCCCACCCTCCTCCCAGCCAGCTGGTCTCTACTCTAGCCTTGCCCCAATCCGCTACCCACCAAACACATGCTCTCCTCTACTCTTCCACAAAGGAAGGTCCAGACCATCGATACCATGCATCCAATCACTACTACTTAATCCACCTCTCACCCGCCAACCCTGTGCAACATATCAAGTCCCTCCTCCCATCTCCCCGAACAAACCCGCCCATACGTCCCTACCTACCGTCCTACCGAAGTTAAATCGTCAACAAATAATGACAATTGCCTAGTACTAACCCCCTCACCCCAAACAGACGAATCTGTCCCAGATATCTACCTCGGTGATCTCATCCCGAATTAGGATTTTATAGATAGATAGATAGATAGATGGATGGATGCTTAAGTCCGAATGAACCCAGCCTTCCCTTCCCTTTGTGCCTCAAAAATGAGACGTAGAGGGAGGGGATGTCAGTGAGGGTAATTTCTGCCTGGGGGATGGGAGGGGATGTGCATGGGCCTAGATGAGGTCGTTGATTTGTTGGTTTGGTTTGGTTTGGTTTGGTTGATTGATACGTAGGAGTACGGAGTAAGTAGTAGATACCTACATGTAGTTAGCTACTACTAGCTATCTATTTCAGTAGTTATTTTTCCCATCTTACATAAGGGATAAGGAATGATTAATCAAGCGTGTTTACTTAGTTAGTTACTCAAGGACTGTTTAGGTTGATGCTGAGATGTTATATCAAATTTTGTTAAAAAAAAAAAAAAGAAAAAAAAAAAGAAAGAAAGAAAGAAAGAAACACCTATGTACTGCACTATGTAAAGATTACGGGAATAGAAGTTCGGAGGACCGAAGAAGTCCTCTGGACCTAATCTAACCTTTGTGAATAAGTACTCCGTACTCCGCACTCCGTAACTACAGACTACCTAGTGGATGACTGTGAAGAATCTGACAAGAATGACATGTGCTAGTTCGTGAATATTATTATGTTGACGTTTTGGTTCTTAGTGAGTATCATGCCCTAGGTCCTATCTTGAGGTGATTTCATCTACTAGATATTGATGGTTTTATTCTCTTTCTCTTCTTCGATGGATCTAGGTCCCTAGGGAGGTGAGTTGTCACGGAGAGGGAGGGAGGGAGGGAGGGAGGGAGGGAGGGGACAAGTGTTGATATTTGGTTCAGCGCGGCTCGGTCTGGTTCGGAGCTAGAAAGTTGGGGGGGAAGGTTGCCTTTCACCGCTGCTTTAATCTGCTTTGCCTCGTTGGTACGGAATACATTTTACTACGGAAGTCAGGACGGACTGTGTGACATTACGGTGAGGGAGTACCGGTAGGGAGAGAGACAGCAAGGAAATAATTTCCGGGCGAGGGAAGGGATCAGTGTGGCTACTGCTACGTGGGAGACTTATGGTCGGGAGGCTGGAGCGAGGGAGGCGCCGCCGTTGCCTTTTTTTTTTTTCTGGCTGCCTGGCTGCGCTGCTGGCTGCTGGCTGCTGGCTGCCGACTCCTGGTTGCTGGGTGGGCGGCGCGCGAGACGTCAGATGGGGACGTCCCATCCCGGAGGAAATCCAGTCGGAGGGTATAGTCTAAGTAGGACTATCTGCCCACCCAACCTCTCCCAAGTCCTCACTCCCAAGAAAAGGGAAATGACCTGTCCAGATGCATGGCCCGCTGCATCAGGCGGTGCAGTGGCATTTGCCATTCCCGGAAGAAGGATGCAAAAGCGCACGCAGAGATCGGCGGCTGGCTTGGGGATTTACGTGGACGGAGAGATCTATCGCATCCTGCAAGATCTCCCGGCCGAGTCCGGGAATCCCCCCTCCACCTGCACGCGTGAGAGACTTGGTTTCAAAGCATTCGGTCGCTGCAGGAGGCCGTTCAAAGCGTGAATTTCATTAAACAGACATGTGTAATCATCTCAGATCATTCCTCATTACCTCGTCATCAAAGCATTCCACCTGAAGAGGGAAACAAAAAAAAGAAAGAAAGTAAGAAAGAAGAAAAGCAAGCAAAGGACTAGGTTTACGCAAAGACTCGGTTAAATCCTCGGAGGAGGTGCTCGAGCCGACCTCCCACCGGATCATCGCTGGATTGGGGCAGCAGCCGTCCCTGCGAGTCAAACCGATCAGGCAGGTCGATCGTCGAATCAGAATCAGACTCGCCCGCAGGATTGTGGTCCCGTGGCTCAGATGGAGCATCGCTACGTTGGGATAAGGAATAGGGCTCGGACGACGAGTGCCGGCGAGGCCGAGGCCGGCTGCGACGACTGCCATGTATCGACTCAATGGTGGAATCACTATCGTCGCTTTCATACCCGAGATCCTTTTGCCGTTCAGGTTCGAGATTCAAATCAAAGACCACTGACTTTGGCCCGGCCGGTTGGCTGGCAGCGCGTGGCCGTCGCCTCCTTGCACGGGGGGTCCTCAGCGGTGACGGAGCTTCTACACCTGAACCACACAGTTAGCCGCGATCCAGCGAGCGGCGGTCTTCTTAAACCCACCATCGAATGCGCGATATGGGACGGTGGGGCGGGGACAGGTTGCTGCACTCACCATATCATCTGCCCTCCGGGGCCGAGGGGCGTACGTGTCTGGTCCTGGGCGAGCAGGGTAGTCGTACGTCTGAGGTGGCACAGCGCCCGGTGGGGGGGCGTAGTCGGCCGGGCTGTACGGTGCCGGTTCTGGGCGGGGAGCTGATCCAGGAGGTGGTGGGAAATAGTTGCTGTTCGGATAGTACTGGTGGTCATCGATCCGCGGGGGAGCTCCTGCAGGGGACGGTGGATAGGGCGGGTTATTATACGAGCCGTCATATGGCTCGCGGCGTCTGTCCCCGTCGGATTCTAAGACACAGCCGTCAGCTTGGACCATGTGCTGTGGGCTCCAGCTCATCTCGGCTTACCAGGCCTATCTCTCTCCTTCTCTGCCTTCTTACGCTCGTTGCGCTGGGAGAGCTTGTGAGCCGCATATCCTACCCCCGTGGCGGCTAAAGCAGCCTCGGCGATGTCGCGAGACCGGCTGCGGTGCCTACCATGACGGCTGTGGCGTCTCGTACGGCTGCCTCGGTCGGAATCGGAGGAGTCGCTACTGTATCGTACGCCCCGACTGCGACTGCGACTGCGACTGCGGGCTCGATGCTTGGAAGGGCCAAACCCGGCGGCGCCACTTGCCACAGGGTCAGAAGCATCCGAGTAATACCCGTGCGGGCTCATGGGCCGACCATAATAGTTGGCAGGTATGCTCCCTTGGACCGGGTGATCGCCGTATTCAATCAACCCCGGGGAGGCCCTCGTCGGGTCTGGGTACGCCTCCGACGGGGCTCGACTTTGGGACCTCGACCGCCGACGGTCTCGGCGCCGTGACTCCTCCTCTTCTTTCTTTTCCTTGTTCTTCTCGTAAAGTCCCGTTGCCGCAGCCGTGCCGAGCCCAGCTGCTACCACCGGAAGGGCCTTCCTGATTGCACTGTGCGAGCGAGATTCATGTCTGCGAGAGCGGGAATGGCTGCGGGCCTTCTCCACAAGGCCTGCTACAGCTGCTCCAGCCAAGCCAGCCTCTGCCATGTGCTTCCTGCGTTGAGACTGGCTGCGTCCCTCCTCGTCCGTACCCCTTACCGATCTGTGTGAGCTGGAGCGGCGATGACGTGAGCGACTCCGTCGGTCTTTGTTCGAATTCGACTTGTTCCGCGCCAACGCCACGGCTCCAGCAATGGCAGCCGCGCCTAAGCCGAGTTCTGCAAGTGTTCTAGCACGTGAGTGGGAATGAGAGCGGCTGCGGCTGCGGCTGCGGCTGCGACGGCTGTGGCTATGGTGATGGTGGTGGTGGTGGCGGTGATGACGTGAATGAGACCTCCGGCCGTCGTCAAATGAATGGGAGCGATGCCGGCTTTTGCTGCGGTAGTGATCCCTCGCGCGCGAGACTGCCTCGGCCGCAACAGCTCCCAGGGCTCCCGCACCTATGTCCTTGCCTAAACGGCCCAGGCCTTGTGATACTTCTTCGCCTTCCTTCTTGTGGTGGTTGCGGAGCAATTCTGCGGCACCAACCCCCGCTAGAGCTCCCTCAGCCAGATGCCGTCGATGATGAGGGGAATCATCATATTCGCGGACTTCTTTGCGAATGTAGACCATGCTGTCATCGCTGCTGTACGCTTCTTGGTCATCGCGATGACGGGTGGTCTGAGAGACCGAGTCGTTGGGGCTCAGTTCTCGTCGACTGCGACGCTCATCGTCATATTCTCGGACACGGCGATGATAGTAATATCCTCCAGGCTCTCTGTCCACTTCAGACCGACGGACGATCTCGTAGTCGGACTCGCGTGGGTTGAGGTAGACCGGACCTCGGGCTTCAAGAATGATTATCGGTTGAGCTTCACGGATGACAACGGGGGCGGGACAGGTGCGGATGCGCTCGGGTGCGTAGTACTCACGTTCGTAGATGTCCCTTTCGGAGCGATAGTCAAATGAACGCGAGTCGTAGTCAACATCGCGTTCGTAGCGTTGAACCATTACGGGCTCGTCGCGGTCGACGGAGCGACGGATAACCAGCTCGCGATCGCCAGGGTCATCGCGGCGGTAGTAGAAATCGCGCTCACGATCCTCCTCGGAAGGAATGACGTAACGCTTGATGGACACGGTAGACGAACGGGGCTCGTCCCAGTCCCGCTCGCGGTCTCGTTCTCGGTAGATGTACGTCGACATGAAGCAGGCGACTTACACGGGGAGGTTCCAGGTGTGAGCAGGAATGAATTGTTGGATGGGGCAACGACGAAAGAAAATCGTGGAGATGAAGAGGGGCGTGAGAAGTGAAGGAAAGATGGAAGATGGAAGATGGGAGATGGAAGATTCGAAGACGGGAGGCGAAGCTGCAGGGAAGTGGGGTAAAGGACCAGGCTGACGAAATGTTGGACCAGTGCTGACGCAGGAGCAAGATTGCCCGGGGGGACAAGGTGAAACCCGAGTCCGAAAGAATAGGTGGGACAGGATGGTGTCACTGTAGAAAGACGAGTGGCTGATGGATGAGTGGCAAGCCGGAATGGTTGGTGGGAGAGAGGGAGGAGGGGTAAACAATTGCGTAGTGGACTAGTCCCGAGTAGTACTATCCACTATGTATGCGGTAGACTCGACCCTCGAGACAGGTAAATAGTAGATAGACGGTCTGTTCTCTCACAGGGGGACTGAGTGGGGATGATCGCCTTCAAAAAGGTAGAGTTCCCTAATGTCAATGATGGAAACTGAAGATCGAAGGATGCCAGTGAAGAGGAGGAAACCGACAAAGGCGCCAGGCGATGAGGCAAGCAAGCGATCGACCACGTGAATGGGCGGCCTCGTGATGCCCGGACGACAGCCCAATCGGCCCAGTGCCACCTTCGGCAACAACCGCGCTGCTTCTTCTTCTGCTGCTGCTACTGCTGCTGCTTCATTCCATCGCGACCAAGAATCCTTCCCCGATTGACTCAGTGCCCCGTTGCCCGACCAGAGGCAACAGTCCTGACGATCTTTCCGACCTCCCGATGCACAAAGAAGGAATGAGGCTGGCATTACGCCCGATGCCACCCCCTCCCTCTCGTCCGTGCTACGCGGGCTATCCGGGGCGAATCCGGAGTATCCAGGGCCGTCGTGTCTTTATACTTGATACTGGGGAAGGTAGGACGTGGACGTGCGCTTGATCAGGCTTTCCAGATAAGCCGGTTCCACGGGTCCTGGTGGGTGCTGGGCTGGGCACCACACAGTAAACCATGGGATTCAGCCGCCTGCTACCAGTGGGCCGAGAACAACAACTTTTCACCCAAGGTTGACATCTACTCCGTACGGAGAACTTATCTGGCACACAATAATGCAGGGGATAGTTCGACTAGAGCAACAATTTAGATTGGAAGGGAGAGAGCGGAATTGGATTCCGAACAGCCGCCGTGGCCTTTTCCAGTTAGAGTTAGGATACGCCTCCTTTCCTTTCTTTTTCCCTGAGGCGATGGCTCCGATTACAAATCGTCTTCTCTCCCTGCCATGCTTCTTATTGTCGGAACTCGGAAGACCGAACAGTGAGGTCATGGCAGTCCAGGGCAATGCTCCAGCTCTAGATCTGTTGGATCGGCGTTAATCACCTATCATTCTCATCTCCATCCCGATGGCCTCTCTACTAACGCTAGGCGAGGTGCCCGACCCGCGGTCATTATTCGCCACGCGGACAGCTAAAACCAGCTACCTTCTTTAGTGTGCCTTAGGTTCGCGTGAGTGCGAGGCTCATGTGCGTCAGACTATTGGGTGCTATGAAATTTACGCTATTACCTACCTCCACAGTATATGATGAGCATGCTTTTCGCTTGTCTTCTCGTGCATCGCTAGTCGGCCTCACCTGCCAGGTGTGACGTTGTGTTGTGCCTTGCCACATAATGCTCGGTTGTGCTGGTCGGCCGGCCATGCTCGCCCGTTAAGATTTGCCTTCTCATCTAGATAGGCGGGCTGCTTTGGCACCCGGGGCAATGTGACTCCTCGATTCCCCTTTCCCGGAAGGAGGGTCTCAACGATGATCCCTGCATCCATTTGGCCCCAGAAACCTCCGTGCCCTAGGAACTTCATGGGAACCGACCTGACGGTCCAGCTCGGCAGGCGGCCTTTTTGCGCTTTGACCCCTAGCGTCTAGTACCTGTGGTCCATACAGCCCCATGAGGTCTGATACGCGGTGCTACCTCAGACTCATCCCGTTCAATTTGCCCGTGAGCCTGTCCGGATTCGATAGACAGACTAGACCAGCTAATGGCCGTGGGGGGTTCCAGGCAAGGGTTCCTTACCAGCTGTGCTGCCGTCAGTGCGTACAGGATGATCGTCTATGGTTGCGAGTTTAAGATAGGATGCGTGAGGAGAGGCCCACCGTCCGCCAGAAAATAGTTAGAGTGCAACCCAGGGCTGCAGCAAACAAGGTGCTTCGAGGAGGAAGCGGCGCAACTGGAGCTTTGGGACGGCGTACGTGGAGGACGATATCAGCCCACGGATGGAGTCCGCTTTCCGTGCTTTGGGTGGCGGTGACATTGGCTGTCTTCATTGGCCTCGGCCGCTTTGCTACCAGATGCGAGATTGGACGGGCCATGGTTCACGAAGCAATTGCTATCTACCTGCTACCTAGCAGAAAGACTCAGCCTGCGATGGGAGACCCACTATCTACACCGCAGACCCGAGTACCGGGGAACGTCATTGCAATCTTAGATCCATCGCGAATCGACTGCTAGTTCGCCCTAGGCCCCTAACACTACTTCCTCCCCTTTCCGTCGAGCCCAGAGTGGCACAGGGAACCCCGTAAGCTCCAATTACTGGAGGCTTGGCTCGCATCCGGTATGGTTCTGGAAGGCTTCCATGCGTCAATTTTCCCCCGGACCTCCTCCCATGCAGGCCTGGCCAAAGGAAAGAGAGACGCAGATGCAAATTAATTGCAGAATGCACCCTAACCGAATCGGAATAAGATCTCAGATGCTACGAGGCCATTCTGACACAAAAATACTCCGCAGTCGCTAGGCCCCTTTTCTAGCCTCTGGAATGAGAAAAGTGAAAAAAAAAAAAAAAAAAAAAAAAAAAAAAAAAAAGAAAGGGACAGGGCAAAACAAAAAAAGTGAAAAAGAAAAGAAAAATACCTGCGAACGGGCCCGGTCTGACACAATGCCTCCGACATAATGTCCCTGTTCTTCTGTGTACTCCAATGTTTTCCTATTTGCAGATCTGCAGTAGGCGTTGTTCGGTTTAAAAGACAGTCTGGTACCCTCGAAAGCTTCGGCACCTGCAATCCCCTTATACATTCCAGTCGTACCGAGCCAGCTTCTCGAGTTTGACCTACTGTGGCTAGGTCACAGCCATTCTCCGTTGCCTTCTCACCGGTCCTGCCAATCTTATCCACTTAGTGGGGATTGTCTGGGCTTCCAAACCCAATTCAGCCCTCATTGCTTCTCAACGCAGCGGTTCCAATCACCATGACTACATCGAATCGCTCGGCCAGCAAGAGACTACCCATCAGTTGCCAAGCATGTCGAACTAGAAAGATACGGTGCTCTCGTGATGGACGTCCATGCCAGACCTGTGTTCGCCGCGGATTGGGCGCGGAGGACTGCATATACCTGGGTCAACCTAGACTGTCATCCGATCAAGCCTTGACGGTAGAGACGGCAGGGCAGAACGAGTTGCTTGCACGGATCCGCAATCTCGAGGAGCTACTCCAAAGACAAACACAATCGCGGTCAAGCGCCTCCCTATCCCCGCAAAACTCCCCGAGTGCGACAGGCAGCCTCCTTGAGAATGATAGTGCCATTGACCCGGGCTCTAGGGATGTGAGAATCCCGTTGCTTAATAACGTTGGCACTCTCCAAACGTTCGCTTCCGGATACGTTCGCTATCTGCCCCTAGCAACTAGCCAATTGAGCCCTACCGTTACAGGCACCTATTCTTTGCCAAGTGTGGACAGCGAAATACCGGATGAGAGCGATGACCTGCAAATCCCGTTGGCTAAGAACTGTGTCTCCAGGGATGAGCTACTTGCCATCCTCCCACCTCGTCGGTATTGTGATGCTTTGAAAGATGTTTACTTCCGAGTCTTTTCACCGGTATGTCGGACCCTTGGCCTGATTTCCTCAGGCCTCATATGAGTGCTTCCCTCGGATAACCGAGCTAATCAGAAGGCCAGTTGTTTCATATTCTTCACGACCTGACATTCGAGGCCGAGTACCAGCAATTTTGCCATGATCCGAGTAGCGTGACAACGGCATGGATTGCGCTGCTATTTGCCATTCTGGCAATTGCCGTCACAGCGCTTGAGGACGACGAGCCCTTACTCTCCGACCTAGGCCGTGAAAAAACCGTCACCCGTAACATCAAGATTCTATCCTCACGGTATCGATCCGCCTCACTGCGTTGTCTGGCAGCAGACGACGTCCTTTCGCGCCACTCCATTAACTCTCTTCAATCCCTTGTCCTTATAAACTATGCACGGATTCACCGGGGGCTGCCGACATGGACCCTATTGGGCTTCACACACCACGTCGCGATAGCGATGGGCTGTCATGTTGATCCAGATCGATTCCCGCTTGGGCCCATCGAGCGGGAGGAGCGCAGGCGTGCTTGGACCGGAGTGACAATACTCTATGTTGTCCAGAATACGGTAGTTGGGCAGTTCGACCACCAGGTAGTCTCCCAAAGCGTAAGGCTTCCTCTGGAGATCAACGACGTGGATCTGCTTACGGGGTCTCTTTCTTCCGAACAATCCACAGGGCCGACTCAAATGACGTATCTTCTGCTTGAATTTCGTCTTGACAAGATCTTCTCTATGATCTGCAGAACTCTTTTCAGCTTCTATCCCAAGTTCAGCCTCTCGCAGCTCGAAGCGCAGATTTTGTCCGTCCATGACATGTGCGATAAGCGATACCAGATTCACACAAATCTGGAGCCTTTGCCGATACATCATGTGGCCAATGTAAACATTCTGTACAGCTATATTCACCAGCTACTCTTACTGCTACTCCGACCGAGTCTTTGCTGCTATCTCCAGGGTGATTTTACTCCGGAAACATACGCTTCGAGAACTAAATGCGTCGCCTCCGCCAAGGCATCGCTCTCGATATATCAAGCGCTCCATGAATCGCCTCAGTTTGCCTCGTACAAATGGTACAACAGTGGCCTGGGAAGCTTCCATGCCTTCCACGCGGCTGTGGTCTTATCCGTGACCCTGATGTACCCGGAGAGCCAGTTCGAGTACGTCGAGATCAAAGAAACGCTCTGGAAGTCGTTGGATGTTTTTGCTGCCTCGTCAAATCGCAGCAATTTCTGCAGCAAAGCTGTCCCCGTCCTCCGTCAAATCATGTAAGTCCATTGGCCGGCCGGACCCCGTACCCTTCTTATCCCGGACATGAACTAACCGACCGCAACCTGTAGCGATCTGGCTTGCGCTAGAGGCCACCAAGCAGTCTTGGCCGTCGACCCGAACACTGGCATCGTAAGCCCCTCGGCCGAGTACGCGCAGGGCTTGCCGCCCATGGCATCGGAGTACATCACAGAGCCACTTTTTGCTCAGCTCCAACCCCAGAACTGGGTCAGTCCGACTTCCGTCCCATGGGATGGTTGGAAGTTTCTCTCCGAACAAGGATAGCGACTAAAACGAAACCGACATGCGACTACATAACTGCTGAGAGTGACACGAGATCTGTTGCTTTTCAGTTTGCCTGTTGCTGGAGTAATCTTTTTACACAGCATGAGACTTGGTCCTCGCTTAAGCCTAGGGAGCCATTGTGTGCTGTCAAAAGGGACACTAGCGTCGATAGTATTACGCCCGCTCCGAAGGATATAGCTCCACCGCTCTGTCCACTTGATGACTATCTCTCGAGGAGAGAAGAAGAGTGATAAGGGTTCCATCGACCATTATACAGCGAGGACAACTCACCATAACCATGTCCGCAAATGGTGTTTGACAGCATTATACAGCGACCTTGATCCTTCCTGGGTTCGCAGTCGCCGTATCGACACCAGCCAAGCGAACTTCGAAGAGTCTGCTTCTATGAATGCACAACGACATGAGTGACGAACTTTAATAACTAAGCAAATTCACTTGTAATGATCTGTAATTACTTTCAACGGGTTCGTAGATGTCGTTAGTTTGACATCAGTCAACCCACTAATGTCATATATCCTCAATGATATCCCATTTGTCTAGCAAGCATGGCATATTTGAGCCACGATCAATCCGACTAATAACCTGTTCGCACTCTCACAAGCACTCATCACAATGGAAATAATCGCCCTGCTTACCACTCACTCTTGATACACCACCTCAACACGCTGAGAATCACACTTCGCATCCGGATCCTCACTATCACCTCGCTCTCCAGCCACGATTACTTTATCGCCGAAGGAGGCAGCGATTTCCTCGAGGGTCCGCTGCTTCGTTTCACTAGATATTGATGAGCGTTTCGCTCACATAGTCGGGATTAGGTAGTCACTTACGGGAAGTAGAAATAGGCAATGGTGAGGAAGAAAACGGTGCATGCGACGAAGACGTAGTAGTAGTTCTCGCCGATGTTGGCAAATGCGCTGGGCCCGGCTTCGGTGACTGGAAGAGTTTAGTGTTAGGGAGTTGCGATGTTGATTTTTCGAGTGTAAAGTCTGTCGTGTGGGGTGGGTGGGGGGTTGGGGAGGTATGAACTAACTGGCGACGTTGACGATAAAGTGCGATGCTGCCGCTAGACCCATTACTTTGCTTCGGATGGCTATGGGGAGGACTTCGGCGCCGTAGAGCCAGGTTGTGCTGTTGAGCATTCCGTCTGTGGTGTGAGACCGTTAGCTTTGCTCTGTGGAATATCGTTCCTGAGTGATGGACAAGGGTAACTTGCAGTATGCTACGACAAAGAGGTATATTCCCAAAATGGCGAAGCCTTTGCCGACTCGGTTATTGGTGTTTTGAAACTCGCGTTGCATGACGGCAGCATAGATCTCGATGATGATGATTCCGGCTAGGCCAGAAAGGAGCATTCTGTGCTTGGTTAGTGGGTATTCTTCTTTTGGACTTGTCGGGAGGATAGTGTACTTCCGACGACCCCATTGGTCGGTTAGGTATTTGGTGGTGAGGCAGTTGAAGATGAAGGCGACGGAGCCGTATACGGCAGCTAGTGCTAGGATGGTGTGCGAGTCTATGCCGAGGGATTTGTATAGTGTTGCTATCGTTATGAGCATGCAGGGAAGCATAGAGAAGGAATTGGGGACACTGACTTTGATAGTACTGGACGATGTTAGGCATTGTTCCAATTTTCAACATGAATGGTGAGCATCACTTACTTGTATCACATTCACACCAGTCAAACTTGTCATGGTTTGTACAGCAATCGATCTGTTCAAGAGTATCAGAGGTGTGCTTTGGCGTAGACTAGGGACGAGAGCAACTTACACCAATGCACGGCGTCTAAACAGCCGAAAGATATCCTTATACGAAGTTATCTCTCGCTCTTTCTCATACTGAATCTGCGCAACCATCGCGGCAAACTCCTGCTGGAGTTCATCTGCGTGTAGATCCCGGCGGATTCTCTTGAATTCTGCTCGAGCCTGCTCAATGTTTCCTTTCCGGATCAAATGGCGGGGGGAGTCGGGCATGAAGGTGATGAGCCCGCAAAACATCACGACACCCCAGGGAATTTGTAACCCAAGGGGTAGTCTCCATTGTACTGGCCCGTAGGGAGCGAAGCTGCAGGAATACCCGACCCAATTTGAAGCCATTGTTCCGAAGGCGATACCGCAACCTGAGATGCCACCGATTAAACCGCGATAGCGAGGATCCGATATTTCACTTAGGTAGATGGGAACTGTAGCAACTAATCCTCTGGAGCGAGATAGTTAGTCCTGCGTTAAAGAGTCCTCCCCCGGGTTAGAGCAAACAGCACTCACCCAACTGCATATCCAGCTAACGCACGGCCAGCAAGAAACATCCCGATATTGACTGCTGCTGTCTGGATGATTGTTCCAATTGTGACAATCACACACAGCAGCTCCATGAATCGAAGACGTCCAAGTTTATCCCCCACGGCAGTCTGGGTGAGCGCGCCGACTGCTTCTCCAGCAATGTAAACGGAAACAACCTAAGTCATCTTAGAAAAAGTCCAGTATGCTGGTAGCTCCCACATACAGCACCTGTGAGGCCATTGGATGGGTTATTCATGTAATCTATCCAGCTTTGATGGGCGATGGCTAGCAGAGTCAGCCTAACAGTGGCGGAATATCCCTTTGCTGTCCTTACTTGTTGTCGCAATTCCCGTATCGAATCCCTGCATATTATCTCATCAGGAGTGGCTTCAGGCGAATGTATGGGAATAAAGGGTAACTCACAAATAGAAAGGTTCCGATTGCAGAGAAAATCGCGACTCCATAGGCGTACCAAACAGCCATCTTGACATGCGAACGGCACAGATGGAAGAGATTTAGAGCACATTTGATTAGCAGCTTTACAAGCGAAAGGCGCCGTAACAACATATAGCTGTCATACGTCAAGCCGGGAATGTAAATGACCGCTCAGCCGAGGGTGCGCAACCGTGCAGCCACTCGGAGTATGGCCGATCAAAGGGCCATGGACCAAGAAGGCCTGGGAAGCGGGCCACATAATGGAAGCTCCGTATTCTGCGGGGTGGAAACTCCAAGCACTGGGGGAAATACTCAATTACCCCGCAAACCAAGAGCTCCGGCTTGAAGTGTATCCGGAGGAGCTATACGGAACTCTCCAAGCAGGCCTCCGCCCGCATATTTCTCTACTCAAAAGGATGAAAAATGTAAGTTGTTCATACTGGTACTGGCACAATTTGCCGCAGATACCAGCAGACTCTTGTCGGAGATCGTGTAGAAAGAGCCCGAGCCACAGAGACTCGGTCTGGGGAAAGACTAGAAGCGGGGTGCAGAGGATGATCACTTCGGGGGGTCATCCAATAGCCTCCTCGTGACCTCCCGCCATTGGCCACATCCCTGCTTCATCTGTCCAGGGGACAGGGAATATGGCACCTGGAACAAGGTGATATTCTGCCTAATCTCCGATGCTGACAACTCGAGCTCTCGGAATTTAGAGACTAGACCTCTGTTCCATTAACTTAAAAATAATATACAGCTCTTTACCTGCTAGTATCGAGCTGGCCAGCTGGGAGATCTTCTAAATACTAGTACATAAGCAAGATGACGTACTGGTGAGCCACCTGCAGTCAGAGAAGTAGGCTCACCCTGGACTTCTATTTGCCCAATGCTCCCGTGCATACATGAACAAGGAGATTGAAGAGACAGACCCCAAAGGCCAAACCACCAGAACCCCGAGGCAACCGGCTGAGCAAGGGACGATGTATCAACACCTCGGATGTATACAGGAGAGACCCATAGCACCCAGCCAGCCATGCACTAACCAAAAACATCCACCTCGCTTCGCTTCCTAAGTCGGACTAGCCGCTCGCTAAATCGACACTAACCCCCTAGCGCCAAGCAACCCTCCCGGCCAGCTATAAAATCCCACCGCGCCCGCGCATCTTTAGAATTTTTTTCTTTTCTTTTCCAGCTCTCTTTGCCTTTTGGCTTAGATCAAGTGTAGTATCTGTTCTTTTCAGTTTAATCTCTGAAAGTGTTCTAAGGAACACAACATTGATTAATCTTATTTTTGTACCTCGTGGCAGGACCTCTGTGCTTGCGCATGTCTTGCCACACAGTGTCATCGGGCTTACACTACCTCCGATCGACGCGAACCCTTTTTCATCAATTTGGTCGGCTTGCTCGACTGGTTGGAGAAGAAGATTTGTTCCTTGTAGATGGTTTTCCGTGTTATGAACTGGGCTCGGCTTTCTCTTGGTCGCTTGTTCCTAAGCCGTGTGAATTAGGCATAACATGTATGGGATAGAATATCGACTAGTGCCAAGGCTTTTCAGAGATAGTGCAGTATCTCCATGTTTCTCTACTCTTAAGGCCAAGACATAGTATAGGAACGCATTACTGTTATCCCTGTCACCTTGTTACCTTTGAATAATATCCAACATCATATTTACATTCGCCTGTTTCCCAGTGGCCATCCAGAGCGCCCATGGAAGTTAGGCGATCAAGATTGAATTCAGTGTGCTTCGTGTGGGTACATATATGACCTGAAGTAGCCCCGGAGATACAGCTCCGAAGGGGTCAGTGTGATGGATACGGGGTTACGTGGCTACGGGGGCCACGGGCCCTGAATAGGAAGCTTATAGAGATCTGCATGACTTTGGTAATTAGAAATCCTAGAAGGGCATTTAAGAGCGGCCTGGGCAGTCAGAAAGCAATAAAACAGGAACAGACCGCTACCAGAGAAGTGGATTGATAAGAGTCAAGAGGTTTGACATGACATTTCAAGTCTTATTCTGATGTCTAATGAAGCTTAAATACATTATTACATCTGGCATCTAGGCAAACCTGAGTTCTAGAAGGAAGCTTGAATTGTCCCTAATACCCTACATCCTTTGATGCAAATAATCCCTAAAGGTCCTGAGAGATTGGGAAGGATTGACTCCATAGTGGTCTAAATATCAGTGGAAAGTTCATCAAATATCAGGAATTCTCTGACCCCATCGCACTAATTTCTGACGCCTTCACAGCTAGGACCCTACTAGTTAACCCCTTGTCCAGATTCATCACTTGCTCTATGACTCACTACAATGTGATATAAATCCGCCAGTATACCTTAAGATGCATGCGACTACAGTACCTACAATTACCCTCTCTTCCAAATCCCCACACTTGACCCATCAACATCAACACCATGACACCTACATGGCAAATCACCCGTCTCCTCCACGGCGTCCGAGCCATAGTTGGCGGCCAAGGACCCCCGGTGGTTCTCATCCCCGGCTGGCCCCAAACGGCCGAAGCATTCAGCGATATTTTCGAACCCCTCTCCAAACATTATCAATTCTTCGCCCTCGACCCCCCAGGCTTAGGTGAATCGCCCGCTCCCGTCAACGGCTATGACACCGCAAACGTGAGCAACGTGATGGCCGAAGCCATCCACGACCTCCTACAAGAGCAACCATACCATCTCATCGGCCACGACGTAGGCGGCTGGATTGCCTATCCCTGGGCCGCTCAATTCCAATCCCGAATCAAATCCCTCAGTATCCTCGACGCCTCCGTACCGGGCTTCCTCCCCCCGTTCCAATTCCCCTTATCCAACCAGACCAACCTCCGTCTGTGGCAATTCTCCTTCAACGCGCTCCCCGAATTACCTGAGATTCTCGTCACCGGTCGTGAGCGAGAACTACTCACCTGGTTCTTCAATCTAAAGACAGTGCACAAGGACGGTTTACGCGAAGACCACTTCGAACGGTATATCCAGGCCTATTCGAGACCCGGGGCCATGAGTCGTGGATTCGAGTATTATCGGGCCTTTGAAACGAGCTCGAAACAGAATTTGGAGTTTGCGAAGACGCCGCTTGATATTCCGGTGCTGGCTTTGGGGGGTGCGAGTTCTGTGGGTTCGGGGATGGTTCAGTTGGTTCGGAACTTTGCGAGGAATGTGTCCGGGGGAGCCATTGAGGAGTGTGGACATTTTTTGCCCGAGGAGCAGCCGCCTGCTGTTGCGCGGAGGTTGTTGGAGTTTTTGGAGGGGATTGATTCGAAGTGAGATTTCTTGGACGTACCTTTTATCAGTTGCTCTAGACAGTCAAAAATTATAGATTGGTTATGTACGGAGTAGAGGTTATCTCAAGGACGTTTCATGGCGGCGAGCAGAGATCCAATAGTGCTGGCGATGAAAGTCATAGCGCACTTTAGATAAAGATGGGGAGCCATGCAAGAAGAGCAACATGGTAAATATGTTAACTGATTTCGATCCGCTCCATGAAATGTGAATAGATGTCAAGAGGTGATTGTATGTTGTGATCATTAAGTTAAATAGTAACTATGACCAAATGGTTATTCTAAACTGGGTTTCTTGATGTGGCCCGGTCCATGTCTTAGTATGGAGTAGGTCGGTCCGGAATTCAGGTTAGTATGGCCGTGTAAAGAACCAATGTCAGATAAGATATAGAAACTTTTACTACGATGGTATAACTTCATGCGAGGTCGGCTACATTCTACAGCATTAAGCAGCACATAGTTCGTCAAGAGACTCATCAACTAGGAGTCATATATTCTTTCTTTTTTTGAATATGAGACCCTATTCCATCTTCCATTGCCGATGTCATAGCCGCCGCCGCAGAGCGGTCTGTGCAATGCATGAAACCCAGAGCCGAACAAGGAAACCGCAAATCTAGAAGACAAGAGCAGCACCCTTGGTCTTCTTGTCACCACTGTTGAGCGTCATGGTTAGCATCAGTATTCTCAGTCGCGGGACAGACGACCAAACGTACCCAAGCTCGAAGTGCTTGCAGCGCTTCAGGGAGAGCTGCTTCTTGGTCTTGCAAGCAGTGCACTCAAGACGAAGAACGATCTTCTTGGTGGTCTTGGCCTTCTTGTGGAAGACGGGCTTGGTCTGACCACCATAACCGCTCTGCTTCCGGTCGTAACGACGCTTACCCTGGGCGAACAGAGAGGCCTATAGATCATGATTGCATCAGCATTGGTCGCGTGCGATGGACTCGGATGCTTGGGCAGTGTTCACCTTTCCAGCCTTGTACTGGGTGACCTTGTGCTGGGTGTGCTTGTGGCACTCCTTGGACTTGCAGTACGTCCGGCGGGTTTTCGGAACGTTGACCTGAATGCGAGAAGATTGATCAGCCACTGCTGCTGTGGAATGGTATAACGCCCGCAGCTTGTTCCCGAGTTCCTCGTCGTCGAAGGTTGTGATTCACGATGGGCACGGCATCACGGATCGAAAAGTGAGTAGGACAGATTGGGTCTGGCAATGACTTGGTCGCTCTGGTAGGATATTTCGATTCATCGTTCCGGTCGCACGCAACAACTTCATTCGCTTCATCCCACAATATTCGCGGGGAAACTCCCCACGTCGAGATCTCCATCGATTCTAACCATTTTTGTGTGATTCTTTTGGGGGTCGAAAATATTCGTTTGTAGCTTGAATCGTTGCGCTTCGTGAGTGCCGTTTTCCAACTCGGTTTGTCGTCAAAAAGTGCCGTAGGTCGTCCCACTCCGCAATCTACCGATTTATCGAAAACACTTCTCCGACGCCCAGGAACACGGAAACAAGACTGGTTAACGATCAGAACAGTGTCCTTACCATTTTGACTGATTTGGCCGGATCGCGAACTTGGTGGTCGTTGATAGTCTCTTGTCGGGAGGATCGAGTCGGGCTGGCCGTGTGTTGTGGGATTTCGTTCGCTTAGGGCGCGGCCTAACCGCGTTTGTGTGCCATCCGCCAAGACCCAGGCCGCATTACCTAATGCCTCAGGCAGCGACACTTCTCATCCCCATACCTACCGCGATCTATTCTCGCTCGTGAATGACGCAGTATCAGTGCTAATGTTCGGGGTCCCTTAGTGGAACCCTTTGCCGACAAGGACGGCGTCTCCTCCGCCATAAAATGATGTGCCTTTACAGAATTCCAGCCCTCTTTCTTCCCCGACTAGCCACTCCCCCTTCCTGGAGATGACCCCGTCTTCACGAAACCAGTACTTCTGCCGGAGCTTCTCATTAATCTTCTCCACCCTTTCTACCAGTGCAGCCACTCGCGCATGGTCCACCGTCTCTCCTCCCGCGTGATTGGGGTTCTCTAGCACAAACCCGTCCTGGGTGATGAAACGCGCGATCGTAATATGTGCTGAGAGGGCGATGTACCTTGGCCTCGTTTGTAACCCTGTCGCTGTGACAATACTAGAGACATCACGACGCAAATGGTGATATGTATATCCGTCGTTTTCTATGTTGTGGGCAGTGGTCGTCTCCTCTCCGGCAGCAGGGACAAAAGACAGCGCCATCGCCGTTGCATCGTAGCTGACCATGGGCTTAACCAGGCGCGTCCGATGGTGGAATAGAAAATCCACCAGCTCCGGTACAACGCCATGGTCCTGGAGATGAGAGACCAACCCTTCAATTTCCGGCTCGGGTCGACAGCTAGCAATCTCCAGTGTGGTCATGTGCAGTTGTTCTGGGGGCGTAAACCAAACGCCTAACAATACCAAACCCAGTAAAATGATCAGCAAACAAAGAAAGATCCCACCAGGGACATGATATTACTAACTTGAAGCCACCTCGCGAACATCCTGCTGGATCTCAGCCACCAAATCCCGGATATGCTGCGGTGGTCGAGCGTAGAGAGTCAGATTATGCCGCGGATCGACGAACGGTGATGTTTTGCCGTCAGCTCCAGCATGTGTATGCAACTTCCTCAGAATTTCGTCGATCTGCCATCCTTTGAAGTCCATGCTGAGGAGTTTATCCCCGAATTGCGCATTGCGGTTGGATCGATGAGTCTCATATCGCGCTTGGATTTGTTTCTGTGCTTAGATGAGTAAGGGTTGTTCTTGGAGAAGCGGTTGGAACTTGGGATTATACAGGGTCATCTTGACATTCTATGATCAGATGGTCAAAGGGGTTAGGCTCTTGGATGCTCTTTTCCATTTTATTTGGTCAAAATATAGTTCAGTCTTTTGTAGCAGGAATCTAGAACGATATTTGGAGTGTTGTTGATAGTACCAGAATGCCAAGGGCCGGTGCTATATATATCTCATCTGCCTGAGGGGCACAAGCACAAGCCGAAGCCCGCCTGAACGTAACCCGGCAACAAACCATCAATGTAATCCCATTCTGTGCCTATTAGAGACACTAACAAAAGGAAATAAGAACACATATACTATATAATTAATCCTAAACCACACCGTAACCCCCCCAAACCAACAAAACATCCCCCAAAGACCCAGTCCGGGGCTCAGTAACCCCTTCCTGACTATCGCCGGGCCTCCGTTATTTTGATGCCCCACCAAAAACCCCGCCGAAGCTTTCCGTCACCAGTCCAGTCAACATCCACCGCCGTCATTCCCTTACCGACCTACATTGTTGCTCCTCACGACTTCCCTTGCCCATATTAGAGCGTCGCGTCTCTTCCTTGCACCTTATTCTAATCTCCCACTCCACCGGTAATCAAACCACTACAACAGTCGTTATCTTCCCACCATGTTGATCAAGTGAGTTTCGTGTCACCGATCACGCAATGACGCAGATACCGTGCCGCGAACACCAGCTAACCCGCGTCTCCTTTTTTACCAAATTTAGAGTCCGTACCTTGACTGGAAAGGAGATCGAGTTGGATATCGAGCCGGATTACAAGGTACATTTATCTCGTGGATTCTTGTTGGGTGTGATGGGTGTGCTGGTGCGGCTCAGCTAGGTAGCTAGGTAGCTAGCTTATCTGGTTGGTTGGTTGCGAGCTGGGCTGGGCTGGGGCTGGGCTCATCACTTCTTATCGGATGGGGGATCTACTGAAGGTATCTCGTTTTCGCATCGCTGACAATACTTAGGTGTCTCGGATAAAGGAGCGCGTTGAAGAGAAGGAGGGCATTCCGCCTGTCCAGCAGCGGTTGATTTTCGGTGGAAAGCAGATGTACGTGTCCCGTTCGCAGAACACAGTTAAGGTTATAGACATGGGGTATGCTAACGCAGCGGAATGTAAACAGGGCCGACGATAAGACCGCTTCAGAGTATAACCTGGAAGGAGGTGCCACGCTACACTTGGTGCTTGCTCTTCGTGGTGGATGCCTGTGATCGGGTGTGGAAGAGAGATGGTGAGAGAGATCTGTATTATCTTTCAGGCCGGCAGTTTGAACGCTTCGTAGCGTTGTTATGTGCATGGCGCTTTTCAATGGGGACGGGGTTTAATGAGCTACTCCCAACGCAGTAATGACAGTTTTCTTTTTTGGAAAGAGGATCTCACGTAATCGTTGTCCTGGTGGATGGGTATTATATATCTATAGCTTTCTAGGCTAGAACTGTGGCATCTGTATCTATGGCGGAGGGAAGGTGTAGGGACGAGCCAGAGAATATAGAATGGGGTGCTTGAGAACCAAACATCCCATGTATAGAACTCGCCATGCGTTTGCGATATGGCCCTCTAGATAGAGGTCCCCGTCGGATATGCAAAGGCTACCGCGCCTGACTCGAGTCTGGGATGTCCAAAAGGAAAGGAAAAGTAAACGAAAGAAAGCCTTCAGTGGTATCATTTGCAAAACGCCATCAACTCAACCTGTGCACTAGACCGCGCTGGTGCCGAACGCCAATCCTATGAATAATGGTGATCCTGTATATCTAACGATGCAAGGGGACTTCGTTGCAAGATATGTCCCGTCAATTTACTTTCTTCTTCTTGGGTTGAATGAAGAGGCTTGGAGCAGGCCTTTTCCGAACAACTGCAGGACGGGGTGGCTGCGGCGGGGATGCTGGCGTATCCTCTACACCAGACCTCAACTGGGATCTCGCCTCCTTTGCTAAAGATTCGGACGGATTCCTTGTAGGCGGTGATGTCGGTGCATTTCCCACCGGCTTGCTGGTCGCAGCAGGCGACTGCGACTGCGGGTTCGTGGCCCGTCCTGAGGTTATTGCTCGCAGACGGGCTTCCCTCTCACGCAAAGTAGAATTGACTATCGGATTGTTCTGGCTTACAGAGCCAGTACTAACCTGCGACCGCGACCGACCGGGCGCTCTCAGAGCTGGGGTCTCCTGTCGCCGAGGGACAGCGGGCTCAGCAGGACGCCTGTGTTCCTCAATCAAAGCGCGGGGGGCCTGTCTGACCTGGGTCGCCCTGTTATTGAGATGTTTGGTGGGCACAGTCAGAACGGTATTCCTCCTTGTTGCCGTGAAGATACTATTCTTCTTCTTGGTCTCTCGCGGAGCCTGGGGTCTACCAAATGTCCAGGCGGGCGACCCCATAGGGTCTGAGGGGCCAGCCCCGGTCTTAGACGAGAAGACGGGAGCAATCCCACCCATCCTTCGGTCGAAGGAAGCATATCGCTGCTTTGCGGTCGGCCTTTCACGGGGAAGACCGATGATTCGTCGATCCGTGACGAATTTCGCACTGTGCTTTTCGCGCTCCGAGCTGATGCCATCTAGAGCCAGCTTCAGCTTTTCAGCATCTTCATCCAAAGCCCTTTGAACTTGTTCCCGAAGGTCACAATATACGTCATACCAACAATCGGGTCTCTCAGGCAGATCGTATTCCTCCCATCGTGGGATATCTCGCTTTATAAACTCGAGCCAGAGCTCCTCATCATCTCGCACAAGGTGTGGGGACTGCAGTTCCAGAGATCTCTGTTATGTGGGGAAGATCGATAGTTAGCCAGGGGTAGTCATTCACTGACGCTGGACGGGGGTCCGCGGACTCACCAGTTTCTCGGGGCTCTCCACTTTGAGTAGGAATGGACGAGCAAGCGCATAGGGCATGTTTCCGATATCGTTCAGATCTAAATAAGTATACAGAGTCAGTGTATCGTCCGAGTAGGTATTAAGGGGTAGATCGGGCTCTGCCTACGCTTCACGTTCCTAATCGCAGTCGCCGTGCAGAGATGCAGGAGGGACGGCGGCGGCATGATCGTGGATCGGGATGGGCACCAAAAAATAACCAAAAAGCTGACATGAAAGAATTATCATATATAAGGGACAAGTGAGAGGCTGCGGATGGAGGCATGGGAGATGACCAGCGGCAATCAGGAAGCCATGAGCTTGAGGCCATTGAGCCCTTTGTACGTGGTGAATGCGCCTGCGTCAGGCCCAAGGCGGCGGGATGGCGTCACCGGATTTCATTGGCTCATCTGGACCCAGTCAGGCGGAGGCGTGGTTTACTGCCGGCTGCGGGTGACACCGCCCGGGGGGGGGGGTTCCGATCAGCTGGTCCGATAAGACACGATCAATATCGCGATTCATGATGGTACCATGAAGCAGTCTATTCATCCGGAAAGGCTCTGGTGACTAAAGCAGGCTCAATTCACTTCTTCACACAATACTTCCTGGGTCTCCTAGCATGCTTACCCCGGACATTCCAGCTACAACCACCACGCCATGAGCCTCTCTGAGCTACCTACGGAGGCCATGTCGAATTTATCGAGACCTTGCTGGGTACAAGAATGAGCGACAAGCTGAACTACTATGACGACCGACTTGTAGCATGTTGTGCAGCTTTGGAAAACAGGAAACACGTCGTCAAGATGCTTACCAGGCGAGGGGGGACCTGATGGAACCACTATCGCAAGGAGCGTCGCAAGGCCAAAGCGAGAAGCTGACCATCGTTGAACCGACCGCCGCCAATAGGAAAAATGTGGTGATTGTCAAGCTAATACCTACAGTACATAGAACTGCTGAGTCCTCTGCTGTCTATAGTTTTCTATGAGAGAAAGCTAGCACTGCGCAGGTGGAGGCAGTGCAGGGGCATGGCAATCGGGACATCATCAAATTTTTGGTAGCCGAGGACATCAATGTCTATTTCTTAAAGGCGTAGTTGGATTGTAAGTTCCGGCCTTTGTCACATACTATTACTTTGCGAGGCCGGATCCGAATGCTGAGAACGACACTGATAGAAACCATAGTCCAACGCGGTGGGTGGTTGGGCCTTACATGGGGCCTTGCGTAGCCTTGCCTTCAATCTGGCCGGTAGAAACAGGTCTTGGAGCTGGCCCCCCAAATCAAATGATGCTGGACCCGAGCAGTGATCAAGCATAAGTAAGGGGCAGTGATGAGGCTGACGCCTGAACATATTGACAAAACGTATAAGAGAATGGTAGGAATGAGCGAGATAGTAACTGACATCCACGCTTATAATCCGCTCAGAATGGCTTATATCATCATACGCCCGGAAGAAGTCTATAGCCTTGTCTTATGGAACAAAGCTTCTTGTTTGCTGCGGAAGTGGCTTCCGCAGCCTTGCTCCGGGCGAGTTATGCCCCGTGGGGCGTCTGCATCGCCTCGCTTTTAAGGCAGTGTATACACGACAACATAGTATGATCAAGTGGTAAGCTGAGCCACCAACCCGGCTGTAGCCATAAAATATAACATAAACAAAGTTCATCCGTGGTTGACAGAATGGTGACAACCAAACGCAACCGCGGAACTTTACAATGGGAGTCATATGGTGAAAGTGACTGCGCCCCGTTGGTGTCATGGGATATCTAGACAAGGCGTTGAATACTCCGTAGTGGTGGAGTAATCGAAGGACATCATGTAATCACGTTGACATAGGTATTTAAATACTCGGCGGAAGCGTCCGAGATCTTGTTGTTTTCTTTCATGTCTTTGGGTTTGTTTTTTGACAGTATATCTGTATCTATATTCCAACATATTTATATTCAGAAGAGTTAGTTTGGATCGTTGATATCATCAACTTGACTCAATTGATTCTTGAGCACTCATATACCAACGGCTTCATATACCGTAAACCGCAACAATGTGGTAAGTCTCGCGGACGTGCATTTCCGACACTGTATCTAATAAATGCATGCCATAGGTACGCGATCGCTCGACCCAGTGAGTATCTCGTGCTCACTGGAGCCGGGATCACCGATATCAAGATCTGCAAGAAGGCCTTGGTGATGCCATGGCAGCGAGTATGACGGATTCCGGGTAGCGCGAGGAGCAATACTAATCATTCTATTCAACAGTGTGCTAGGATTTCCGTCGCCCCGTATGACTTCTCACTCAGCCTACAGGCTATGACCATAGAGAAGCTGCAATTTTCTCTGCCGGCGGTTTTCACGATCGGGCCCGACAATGAGCAAGCAGCGCTAAGGAAATATGCTCTGCTTCTTTCTGGATGCGCGGAAGAGGCTTCTTCGACCCAAGCGAAGGACGTGACAGACAAAGCAAGGCATAACCATGTTCAGGATATCGTTCGGGGGATCATCGAAGGCGAGACTCGTGTGATCGTTTCTAGCATGTCCATGGAGGAGATCTTCAAGGAGAGGCAAGTCTTTAAGACGAAAGGTGAGCGACGACCTGTACACTGACTGGGTCTTTGTATATGCTGATGTTCGAACAGTTATTGAGAATGTCCAGAATGAATTGCAGCAGTTTGGGTTAATGATGTGAGACCGAGAGCTCTGAGACAGACGAAATCAGCTGACAAACGATAGTTATAACGCCAACGTCAAAGAGCTCCAAGATACCCCCGGAAGTGAATACTTTGCCTTTTTGAGTCGCAAGGCTCATGAAGGAGCCCTCAACCAGGCCAAGATCGATGTTGCTGAGGCCCGCATGAAAGGTGAAATCGGAGAGGCCGAGAAGCAGGGCAGAACCAAGCAGGAGATCTCCAAAATCGACGCCGACACTGCAGTTCTGGAAACACAACGCAAAGCTGAAAAGGCCAAGGCAGACTCGGAGCTTGAGAACCGCAAAACAGAACTCAACTATAGTATCCAACTGAATAAGATCACCACTCAGCGCCAGAAGGAAATGAGAGATGCCGAGTTGCAGAAACAGGTTCAAACCAAGCGCGCGGAGACGGAGCTGGAACGTCTCCGCGCCGAGCAGGTCACCAAAAGCAAGGTCGAACGTGAATCGGCCCAGGAAGCAGCCGATGCTGCCTTCTATACGGAACAAAAGGCGGCCGATGCACAACTGTATAAGCAAAGGATGGAAGCCGATGCAGCGTGTAAGTTGTTCTTTGATGGCCCTTGGACTGGCCGTTGCTGACTTTCCAGATTACCGCCAAAGCAAAGAAGCAGATGCAGCTTACTATACTCAGAAGCGGGAAGCTGAAGGGGCCCTTGAGATGGCCAAGGCATATGGAGCTCTTGTTGACGTCCTCGGTGGTCCTCAGGCGTTCTTGCAATACAGAATGATGGAGACCGGGACTTACGAGAGGTTGGCCGATGCCAATGGCCGTGCCATCAGTGGCCTTCAGCCTAAGATTACCTCGTGGAACACCGGAGGTAAGTATCGACTGACTCCTTCCCAAGTACTGCTGACCAGGATAACATGTTCTGACATCAAAACAGACAATAGCAGCGGCTCTCGGGATTCGATGGCAGCGATTCGCAACATCATGCAGGGTCTGCCCCCCATTCTAAGCACAATCCACGAACAGACAGGGATCGCCCCTCCATCCTGGTTTGCGGAGATGCCAAAGCCCAATGGCACAGAGAACAGCCCGCTCCCCAAAGAGACGCGCCCAACCAGTGACATGCTGTTGAACAACTAGACGGGTGCCCGCATGAGGTTTAGGAATGTGATTGCCGGGGAGAACGCAAGAAGGCAGCAGTTGATATATGCTCTCTGCGTTGTGTATTTGCCATATACTGTAGGTTTCTATGTTCCCAGCGTGTTTTATGCAGAGAAGTGCCAGTCCTGCCATCGACCGGTTGGTTGGGCATAGTTGCTAGGTTATACGCTTTGCTTGATGATTAAACTTTTCAGGATACTAGCAACATTATGTGTACTAGTACCCCTTTAGTGAGCAAATAGCTAATGAATACCATGCTGCTTTTATTTTGCAAGAAAGGTGATGAGATGAATAGTGTGTTGGTTGTGTTCTCTGTTTACATCACCCTCGCCAGTCACGTGCTAATCATCCCCCACCCAGCCAAACATTGCAAACAACTCCTCTATAGCATCATCGCGGAGGGGCAGAAGAGTGAGGGCAGCATTACACAATAAACTCCCCCCTACCGAGTCCAGAGCATCATCGAACTCGTGAAATTTATACTCCGCGCCTCAATCAAATAATTTAGACCGAAAATAACTCGACCAACACATTCCGACAGGTACGTACTATCCCTCATGTGCTGCACCCATCGGAGTTGCCGTGACAGGAGCGGATCGATGGAGCTCCCCGCCTTGGGTCATTCATGATTCAAAGAGTTGAGTTGGGCCGGCTCCAGTCGCCCTATGTCTATGCTTATCACCCGAAAAACTCCCTGCCATTCTCCTGTTAATTCTCCGCAGCAAATTGAGCAAAAGTACCATAATTTCTAATTTCGAGTCAATAGCGTCGATCATCATGGCTCCTCGCTCGCAATTGGAAATCGTCACGGCATCTGTCCTGCGCCTGGTCAAGGAAGAGGCGTCGTATCACCGCGAGCTGCAGCAGCAGAAGGAGAGGATCAAGAAGCTGGAGTCTCAGGAGAGCGAGGAAGATGAAAACAGGGAGTATACCCTTAATCAAGAGGTGAGTGTTACGGTGTATGCCATAGGTGGTGGTCTATGAAGGTGATCGCTGACAAGGGTCGTGATAGCATCGGGCTCTCGAAGAAACCAAAAATGTCCTTCCGTCATTGAAACAGAAGATTGAAGACGCCATAGCCAAGCTCAATAGTCTCTTGGTGAGTGACAAATTTTGACAGGCCGGACAATGCTATTATTGTCAGGAATGCTAAACTTTAGCTTTTATTGTAGGTCGAGGAGGGTAAGAAAGGTTCCGAGAGCAATGTCGAGCATATCAATGCTGCGAAGGACGCCATTGCCAAAGCTAGGACGGCAGAGCGGGAGATCGCCTGAGAAGCCGAGAGGGCCTATTTCCTATGTCTCTAGCACATGTACTTAACCCCATCATGAGGAAATATTTAATAAATTGCCCCTGAATAAAAGCAAAAAATTGACGTGATTTGATAGTCACCCTAATGCGAACGCCACCGACCGGACTCCTTGCTCAATGAGTGGTAGAAAAATTCCCCGATAATCAGGTAGTGTCCATTTTATCTGCACGGTCATCTTGAACCTCTTCTCCTTCTTCCAGCTCTTCGGCCACCTCACCCTCATCTTCCATCGTAATGTCCTGATCGGGGACTGTCTTCTTCTCGTCGTCTACTGCGGTTACTTGTCGTAAGGGTGATGCTGCGCCGGCTGTACTCGCCCTGTCCACCTGCAATCCAGCAGGCGATCGGCCAAGATCATCTTGACCATGTTGAGAAGGAGTCAGACTGTCGGACTCGTGACGGGGAGTATTAGCCCCACTAGATTTTCCTTTCGAGGGGACATCCCCGTCATCTCCGTCCTCTCCCTCCTGCATGCCTTCTCTACGCTCGACCTCCTCCTTCTCGTCACGGATGAGACGACGCAGCTGCATTCCTTCTTCCACAATCCGGCCAAATTGTTCTCGTCGTTCTCCCCATGTCTGTGCGTACTCCTTGCTCTCCTTTTCCAGCTCGGTAATTTCCGCCTGTAGTTTTTGTAGATTGGCTTGTTGATCTTCTCGCGGCTTCAAGAGCCGGTTGCTGGTAATTTTCTCCGCCAGTTCATCGTAGCTTTTGCGCAGGGCCAGCAGACGCTGTGCCTCCTCTAGCTGTACCCGCAAGTCTGCTGTGTTGTCGCGCACCGATTGCATTGTATCAAGAATTCGAAGCTTCTCAGCTGCATATCGCTCGCGCTCCTTTTCGTTACTTGTCAGGACGAATTGGATGCGCGCAATACTGCCTTCGAATGCGGCAAAGTCCAAAGCGACGTCTTCACGGAAATGGCGCCATTCCTCGAGTCGTTTCTGTTTCTCCGCCTCGGCCGCTGCTGTCGCATCGTCGTCCGCTCCATCGGGCGGAGGGGTGGGAGGGAGCGTCGCGTTGGATACCACAATAGAATCGCTGTTCAGAAGGCGTTTCGAAATCCGCTTGAATGGTTTTTCTTCGACGTTCAAGAGGCGGGACTTGTGGAGTCCATCTGGGAGGGCATTAGTACGATGAAAGGGACGGGGACTCGCTCTAGAACCACTCGACCTTCGTCCGGTTGATCCAGTAGACCATACGACGTCATTATGGTCGTAAAAATAAATCCGGGTATTTGTCAAGGGAACCACGTCGGGAGTGTCCAAGGTGATCGCGATCTCTCGGTGGCCGAAGGAAGATGGTGCAAGCTTCAAAGGGAAAAGGCCGACGACGGCCGATGCGAGCGGTCGGGGGATCCGCGCTAGGCGGGAGCCGACTTCAGCTGCTCTTCCCTCCCGCGATTTAATGCGGGCATCGTCCACTCTCCTATTTCCGACTGCATGCCATTGCGCTCCCCTCTTCCCCGGCACTCCCGGTCCCCTCGATTTCACCGCTGCTGCGTGGCCGAGGGCCCTCCCAGGGCCTCTACTCAGCTACGACTCCCACTCCTCAGGCTGCTGGCTGCTGGCTGCTTCCCTTCCATTGGCGGAGGCTCCAGATTGGCCTAATCTATACTTGCCTGATTGGTTCGTCTGGCTGCTGTCGGAGCTGGGGTCTCTGCGTCAGACAATATCTAAGGACCCTCACATTATTACACGCGAACGATGCCGAATCGACCAGTCCAAGGAATCTGTTGCTGTCTTCAAAGTCACATGAAACGCATGTCTTACTACTGATGGAAACCATTGTCGGGACCGACTTGCTTATGTACTACTGTTCGCGGCAACGCTCTTCATTGTGATGGCAGAGATGTACTCAGGGCTCCATGTGGGCCAACGGTTCAGCTCCCTGGAGGAATTCAAAGGATTGGTTCGAAGTATCTCAGTGAGACAGCACTGGGAGCTGCGAGTGACAAGAAGCAACAAAAAGAGCGTGGTGATAGGCTGTCGGTCATCGAACAATTGCTACTTCCGGGTCGTCTGCCGCGCCAACAAGAATTCGACTTACATCAGCAGCCTTCAGGACAGCCATAGTTGTCGGCGCAATGCAACCTCAACCTCGAAAACACCGGCTCGATCGGAGGCTTCGCATGTGCGATTCCTTCTGACTGAAATACCCAAGCTATTCGACATGAAGAACAAGATCAAGGCACAAGATGTTGTGGACGCTGTGAAGCGATATCATGGCTATGACATCTCCATGCGACAAGCGCAACGTGCTCTCATTCGGCTGCAGCAACGAGAAACACACAACCAGAGCGAGGGGACCAACACCCACGACTCTAGCGGAGATGACCGACAGGATAGCCAGCCGCCTCCGTTAGAGAGTCAGGCGGATAGCTCGAACTTTGGTGGTCTTTCTGGCCAAAGATGGATTACGAACACCCTCCCGTCGACTATGATGGACAATATCCCTCAAAACGAGGTCCATCGGAATCCAGCTATCTCGGCTTCGCAACTTCACAGTCAGCCTGTGCAGCCAGCGCCTCCAGCACATCATCAAGGACCGCCTACGCGCTCAGTACCACCCCCTGAAGTCACGCCACCGGATCCATTACCCTTAAGCCATAGCCTTCATCACACTGTCAATTCCCAGCAGTCTTCCTATTCGGTGCCTGCCTCGAACCAGGCACCCTCCCCGGAGGCTGGGCGCACAAAGAACCAGACCCAGCCTCCAAACGATGGACAACATGCGAACCCGCAACTAGTCCTAACAAACTTCAAAATCGAATTTACTTGCAACGCCTGCGGGGCGTTGAACCAGAGCTTCTTCCCCAATCATGGGAACATCACCGGTGGGCACTACCTGCCCCCGCACACCGGCCCTAATCAAAACGCAACTTCCACCAGCGGGGGCCCCTCGATACAACCCGCTCAAAGCAGTGATGGCAATAGCCGCGCTGGGGGTGGCCCAGGATTTGAAGGTACATCTGCAGCAAGTACACGTGGCGTACAACAGCCTTGGACAGCAGGGACCCTGGAAGTTCCACTTGCACATGCACACCCATAGTTCTGCGTAGAGTTGGGGGTGAGCCCAGGATTTGTTTTCCGGCTCAAGGAGGCGCAAAGGGCATTGGAGACATTGCTCCGATCTGCGTTCCCCTAACACAATTATCACCAGCCCCGGCTTGTCTATCTACAACATTCGAGCCCTCGCTGCAAGCCTGACTGGATATCCGGCGAACACCCCTGCAAATAACCCCAGTGACGTGCCTCTTCAGGGTCGGGTACGAAGTAGAGTAAGTTCCGACACTTTGGTGCAGAACAATGTGCTCTGCAGGATGATTGTTGGAGCGCAGATTACTCGACGTTGGCAATTCATCTTCAGCTGGAGACTCCTTACATGCAAAATCGCGACTGTTCGTCATCATGCGTGTATAGTATCGAACGCACCAAGGATCGACTGCAGTTGAATGCCCCTCAATACCCCTTGATCCCAACGATTAGCCGGGCTAATTACGAACACAACGTTTGGGCTGTCAACATTGGTGCTCAGGACTGGCTGAGCGTGGGTCAGGGACAAGGGCTGCAGCTTGCAGGGGTTAACGCTATGATACCCGATTGACGCTTGGCAGTTGAGTTCAATATTATGACATAGCCAGCACCAGGCTTCTGAGGGAGATCCAACCGGCCTCCCTGGTCGGGCTCAGTCGCGGATGATGTTATCGCGGTTCGGCAATTGGGCCGACCAGCTTTTTATCGGATGTCCGACCAGCCGAGATGGCCACCTCCGACGGGCGAGATCCACTTTTGGCATCGATCCGCCAACAGCCTGGTAAGCCCGACGCGGAATGATGCCGTGGCCATGACCGAGTTTGTAATAGAGCCAATAACGACCGTGAACTTCGATGAGTGGGTCATTTGACAATCGTGTTGGGTCTCGGTCAAATCCTCCCTCGGCGGTGCCTCCGACACCCTATGGATCTGAATTGATAAAGACTCGAAGGACGCATGCGATGGCATTCCGGCAGCTTTCGTCACACAGATCGGATAAGACAGCTGGTTGGGTCAGAACTGCCCTTTTCTCCTTGATTGCTACATATACCTATTGATTTTGCGCATATCCTGAAACCGAATCTGTACCTACCGGGCCTGAATCGCCGCCGATTATCGTGACCGAAACTGGTTTACCGGATCGAACAGTTTCTTATCCATCTTATCTATAATAATATGCTTAGAATCACCCCCTTGTCAAGTTCGTTATCGGCATAAACTGCACAAGACCATGAATCGGCAACAGGCAGCGGAGAAGGCTCTGCATGACCAGACCAACATCTTGCCCATCGGGCAATTACTGATTGTCTTTGCGGGTCTGGCAGTCTCCCTACTTATCACCTTCGTTGATCAAAATGGCATCAGTGTTACTCTCCCCACGATTGCGCGCGATCTCAATGCGCAGGACACCATTTCATGGGCCGGCACCTCGTCTCTCATTGCGAACACCATGTTCACGGTGCTGTATGGTCGACTCTCTGATATTTTCGGCCGAAAGATAGTCTATCTATGCGCTTTGGGTCTCCTCTGTATTGCCGACTTGCTGTGCGGCCTATCTCAGAATGCTCCAATGTTTTATGTCTTTCGAGGGTTGGCTGGTGTAGCTGGTGGTGGTGTCACCTCCCTGACAATGATCATCGTCTCGGACATTGTCACCCTCAAGGATCGAGGCAAGTATCAGGGAATCTTGGGTGCAGCTCTAGGACTCGGGAACGTTATTGGTCCGTTCATAGCTGCAGCATTTGTGATGGACTCGACCTGGCGAGGGTTCTTCTGGCTCATAGCTCCGCTCTCTGCATGCTCCATCATCGTGGGTTATCTTCTGATTCCCAATAATGCCCAAAAAGGGAGCTTCCGGAAGAATGTCCGCCGGATCGACTTTTACGGTATCCTGGCGTCGTCCATTGGGATCATCTTCTTGCTCATCCCTATCTCGGGAGGCGGCTCTTACTTTAACTGGGACTCCGCGATGGTCATCAGCATGCTCACAATTGGGGGTTGCGCATTAATTGCATTCATCTTGATCGAATGGAAAGTAGCCGTGTTGCCTATGCTTCCAGGTATGTCACTAATGCAGACGCAAGGCCAGGATGAGTGACTGATCTATGGCCAGTGGTGTTTTTCCAGAACAAGGTGATCTGCGCTCTGTTCTTGCAGAGCTTCCTTCTGGGAGCTGTCTACCAGTCCTATCTCTACTATCTGCCGTTGTATTACCAGAATGCTCGTGATTGGTCTCCGATTGTCTCGGCTGCACTGACAGCTCCAATGGTCGCCTGTCAATCGCTGTCTTCCATCTGCTCTGGCCAGTACATTTCCCGGCGGAAACGTTACGGAGAGGTGATTTGGGCTGGCTTTTTCTTGTGGACACTGTAAGCGATCTGCTCAAGCCTCGTCCCATGTGCATCTGCTGACCACCCTCAAGGGGAGCCGGGTTAATGCTGCTGTTCGACCGCCACACCAGCCCAGCGGCTATTGCTGTCATCGTCGCCATCACTGGCATAGGCGTTGGTGGCGTCTTCCAGCCGACCTTGGTGGCCTTTCAAGCGCACTGCACCAAGTCGCAGCGAGCCGTCGTCATCTCGGACCGGAACTTCTTCCGTTGCTTAGGAGGTGCTTGCGGTCTGGCTGTATCGGCTGCACTCTTGCAGGCAACGCTGCGATCCAATCTCCCCGCAGGATACAAGGATATCGCGCGTTCGTCCTACTCGCTGCCATCGAGGTCTGGTATCTCCGACGCCGACTGGGATCAGATTCTTGGCGCGTATGCCAAAGCATCCCACTCGGTGTTCATCCTGCAGGTCCCGCTGATTGGCCTCTGTCTGGGTGCATGCCTTTTCCTCCGCGACCGAGGTTTGGAGAGACCCAAGGATCCGCATGAGATCGAAGAAGAGAAGAGGCAGGAGGAAGAGAAGCGACGGGAGGAGGAGGTGCGAGAACAGTCCGAGAAGCAGGCTGCTGCCCAGGATACTGAAGCCCAAGCGGGGCCGGTGCTGGAATCTGAGGCGAGTAGTGAGACGGAGACAGCCACGCGCTGGGATGCGAAAGCGGAACCGGAGCCATGAGCTTGGAAGGAGGCATTGATTTGATGCATGATGAAATCCGGCATGGATGGCGTTTGAGCGGAATACAAAATGTGCTGCAGCGATTAAGTCAGAAATTCTCGTACATACAGATCTCCGTACTCCGTACTGCGATAGACTGTAGAAATGTAGTACCATAGTAGATTCGGCTCGAGACGCTAACTGGCGGGGCGAGCCGCGAGGGCTTGGCACGGGCGCGCCTTGAACGGCAGCTGCCACCCACGCGAGCCATCGAGTCAGCGACATCTCTCGTGCGCTGATCCCTCATCCTCCATTCCTAGTTCTCTCTTCCTCCAACTCGTGGACAACCATGAAAAGTTAGAATGGATCTTGCGGGCTCTTCGACACCTACGCAAACCTCTTCTCCTTCTCGGGACTACAACCCCCGGAAACGCGGCCGGACGGCATGCACGCGCTGTAAGACTAGGAAGCAGAAAGTTAGTAGACGGATCCGCCTATCGATGGAGACCGATTCGTGTTGTAATTGTTTCCAGTATGTTGTGTCAGGACACGTGCTAATGGTTGCGCGTTAGTGTGACAATGAGTATCCCGTCTGCTCCAACTGCCAGAAAGCCGGGGCGTTATGTGACAAAGCCACCGTGCGACAGGAGAACGGAGTCCAAAATGAGTGGGATTCCTCGTCTCCCCCACCTTGGCCGAGTCGTTGTACTGACTACTGACACTGGTAGATACACCCGTGCGTTGCAGGACCGCATCGCCTATCTCGAGTCCCAGTTGGATTCGAGACCCATGAGTAGCCGGGCCAGCAGCCATGTCGCCCATCCAGTTGCTGCCCTCCTGTCCCCCCAGAATCCGGAGACGCCGAATAACCCGGCAACCGGTCTTGATCAAAATGCTGTGGGGGAGTTGGTGGGGTTCCTGGCGCTCAACTCCTCGGAGGCACCTGCATACGTGGGCTCCAGCTCAGGCCTCTCCCTAGCTACAAGTCTGGGGGAAATGGTCCAAGCGACGGTGTGGAACCAGGCTCTGTCCTCCACACGAACAGCAGCTGCGGGCAGATCTGGGCCTGCAGCGAGACAAGGAACCACGGGGCTCCCCCCGCAGCCTCCGGGCGGGGAGAAGAAAAGTAGTAGCAGTGATCGACTTCGACCGCCACGAGTGGAGGAGGGGTTGGTTCAAGGCAGCGAACCTCCCAACGATGAGATGGGAACACAGATCCTCCACGCCTATCTAACCCGGATCCATGTCCGCTACCCGTTTCTCGACCGCGCGGAGTTGTGGCGCCTGCATGAGGCCCGCTGGCGCCTGGCGAAGAAGAAGCGAGAGGAACTTACCAAGGAGGAACGATTTGGCATTTTCCAGCTGTATCTCGCATACGCGATCGGAGCTACAACAATTCAGATCAGTGAGAATTACACATATATCTCACCAGAGGTGTGTTGCTCGTCTTGTCTGGAGACCCTCTGCTAACGACCTCGTCAGCGATTCTACATGACCGGGTTGCAGCAAATACCATCTATGTGTGAAATGCGATCTGTCAAAAACATTGTAGCTATGACATTGTTGATCGTGTATCACCTTCGCTCTGCGTCCAGCCAAGGGATGTGGTACATGGTGGGCCTCGCCATGCGCACTGCTATTGATCTAGGGCTGCATCGAAAGGCAAATGAGATCAACATGGATCCCTTTACTGCGCAAATGCGGCGGCGTTTATTCTGGACTGTCTATTACCTGGAGCGCGTCGTGTCAATGTCACTGGGTCGTCCGTTTAGCATTGCAGATAGACACATCGACCTTCCTTTGCCAGCCGATGTCGACGACGATGTTCACGATCCAGCCTTGCTAGCCGCGCCTACTCCCACCAGAATTACCACCTTGACCTTTGCCATATTCCTCATGCGACTCCGCCGTATTGACTCGGAGATCCAGCATAAGATCTATCGGGCTGATCGACCGCTGCACACTCTACGCTCGAAGATGGACCGATTGTTCCTCAAACTCGAGGAGTGGAGGGAGTCAGCCCTGCGGCGATTCACCGGATCTGACCTGGATTATCCAATGCTGCACTATAACCGAGCCCTCCGACTCCTGATCCAGCCATTCCTCCCCTCGCTTCCTCTCTCGGACCCCTACTATCACATCTGTCTCCGCGCGGCCGGAAATACATGCCAGACCCACAAGAGGTTACACCAGACGCTCGAGTATGGCCATTCCTTCCTTGCCGTCCAGACCATCTTCATGGCCGGGATCACTCTGCTGTATGCCCTTTGGACGCACACGAGCGACGTTTGGTCAGTCCAGATGAGCAACGACATCCGAGCCTGCTCGACCGTCTTATTCGTCATGGGCGAACGAGCCGAATGGGTCAAGAAATACCGCGACGCGTTCGAGCTGCTAGTCAACGCAGCCATGGAGAAGTTAGAGGGGAGTGACGCATCCAAAAAGGTGGGTATGGCAGAACTCATGACGGCCCAACACAGCGGTGGCACCAATGCAGGAATGTTCAGGGACCATCATCCAAGCTCCACCACTGGCGTGGCGCCCGATACGAACCCAACTGCGCAAGCAGACCCAACCAGTCAGGACCATGGCGTGCGAATGGCCCTGCAGATCGCCCCTTGGATTGATCTCGAAGAGGATAGTCCGTTCTGGATGCCGGATTTCGAGACCCTCGAAACTCTATCGGGGGGTCTGTGGGATAGTGGCGATCTAGCTCCGTTTGGGCCTCTCTAATCACCACATCGTTGATTTCCCAATGCGTTCGGAACAAATGAGATCAATGCTCTCTCTACGACACGCGATTCCATGTCGGGCTGTGCCAACCATGTATGCATGCAAGCTACGATTCCTGCATTGCGATCCCGGGTTTAGCGCGCGAATCACAGATAGGCAGGCCCTGGATGATGTGTCACTCGGACGCCCGGGCAATGATTACGCGGCGACGCTAACATGGGTAACACGAGAGCTGGCTGTCTGTTATTGAACGTTCAGACCAAGTGCGGGTATGGATCGACCATCTGACACTGGGCTCGCGTGACCTGCGCAGGGGGATTGTCAAGCAGCCAGTGTATAGCCCAAGTGACAACAGTGGCTGTGCCCCTAGACGGAGTACTCGGGCTGTCAGTCATATCGAGACGGCGAGTTGCCTTGATTACTCTCTATTGAGCAGTCTAAGATAGCTATCTAATCCACTAAATGTACAACATCACGTCTGTGACTCGAAGAGAATCAGGATTATCTTATCATAACTCGTCCTTCACCGGAGACGGCATAGGTCGCCCACTGTCGTGGCCCAAATCGACTCCGTTCTTCTTACGCCACTTCTCCCACAGCGCAAAGAAGTCCTTCTCCATGCCGCTCTCCATCTGGTCGGGCAGAATGACCGTATACTCGACATACAGATTGCCAGGCTCTTCATCCTCCTCATGGTCATGGAGATGGCCATCTGAGTAATACGGCATACCTTCGCCCTGGACCGTCTCCACCGACAACGGCTGCACGACCTCGCCGCGCTTCCGGCCCAGATGAACAACATGACCGTCCAAGTGCGTGATATTGCGCGTCCACTCGCCCATCCACGCCTCGCGCAGCGACAATGCCTCCTTCCAGAACAGATCCTTGCCCTTCCGGCGGAAGAACGTCCCGTCGTTGCGGTATTCGTCCGAGGTGCCCATCTCCGGCTCCTTCTCCTCCAGGATCAGTACCAAATCTCCGGCAATGTAGTCCGGACTCTCATCGGCTTCGTTCTCAAACACAATGCGCATGCCCTTATCCATACCCGGCTCGACTGTCGCCGACGTCTCCACCTCTCTCCGTACCACCCGATGCCCATGACAAATGGGACACGGCTTCTTAACCATCTTACCCTGCCCACCACACTTATCACAATGCATCTGCACCTGCTGGAACATGCCCGGCGCCAATTGATGCTTCTGGATAACCATTCCCCTTCCCGCACACTTATCACACGTCACCACCTCCCGATCGGCCGACCCGGTTCCCTCACACGCATCACAAATCTGCTGCTTCTCCACCATGAACGAGAATTCCCGACCCGTGTAAAAATCCCTCAACGGCAACCCAACCCGGAGCTCCATATCAGGACCCCTGCGATGGCCCGGCGCGTGTCCAAAATGCCCACCACCGCCGAAAAACCTCGAAAACAAATCAAACGGGTCATGTGCCTGACGACCCGCGGACCCACCCTGACGATGCTGTTCCAGACCCTCATGTCCATACTGATCGTAGATTTTCCGTGTCGAGGGGGTAGAAAGGACATCGTAAGCTTCGGCGATTTCGACGAATTTCTTTTGCGCGGTTTCGTCGCCCCTACACATTGTATATTAGCATGTGTCACATAATCTAAATATCCCCTATACCCAATTATATCATTTCCATCCCATCCATCCAACCAAATCAAAGCAAAGAAAACCAAGGAGCGTGGGAGAGGGAATAAACTCACGGATTCTTATCCGGATGAAACTTCTTGCTCAGATTTCTATACGCGCGCTTAATATCCTTCTCGGAGGCGGATTTATCCACCTCCAGGATCTTGTAGTAGTCTTCTGTGGCGAGGACTAATTGGATGAGACAGAGGGTAAGGAGGACGACGAGGCCGAGGGTTCGCATTGTTGAGAACATTGTGTGTGGTTATTTGGGTTGTGAGCTGCGAATACTTCGCAGCTCACTGGGTTGGTATTTGTTGTTGTTGTTGTTGTTGTTGTTTGTTGTTGGTGGTATGGTAGGGTCGGTATATGTTGTGGTGGTGAGTTATGGTGGTGGATTGGGGTTGATTGCGGTAGGTGCAGGTAGAAGTATAGAGTTGCGATACGAACGAAAGGAGAGATAGATAAATGTCGATTGGAGAGGGAAAGAAGAAAGAGAATCAGATAGGATTGTATTGTAAGGTTCGCTAGTACGATGCTCAAGATCAGTCAAGATCTCAAGAAGCAGGTCAGCTCAAGCAAGGCGAGGGTTTGGCCAGGTTGGCTGTTATCGCGGAGCAGGTGGTTGTTCTGGGGTGGTTGCGACCAACCACATAAATCGGTTAGGTGGCCGCAACGCCGGGGTTACTGTTCGTCCGGGCCGAGTCACGTGGGTGTTTTGGAGGTCGCGATACGATCAGAACGCTTCAATTGCAAACGCCATACATACATCGTCGCTAGCTGGTGCAGCGCTTATTACTACTCTTAGAGAAAAGAAAAGAAGATGGAGGGAAATTCCCCGTACATGAATCCACCCCACCAGTGCCGATCGTCCAGACTACGGAGTTATGCAAATTTATAGTGCGGGGACCCTGACGGTTAATCCAAGTCCAAAGGCAATCATAAGTCGTGAAGAAAGACGAGCACCTAGGTTTGACCCCGAGGAACGTCAAAGATATCGTTTCGCCACGTTAGGCCCAGCCCCTGGCTCTCGTCGCCCTCTTCAATGGCCTCGTGGGCTCGCAGTGCTTCGTCATGCCAGACTTTGACGAGACTGCCTGGGGCAAAGACGCCCTTGAAGACACCGCTACCAGGTGGCTCAATGCCAATGCGGGCCTCGACGTCCGTGTCCGGGAGTGCCTTTAGCCGTGCCAGCACGGCCCGCACGAAACTGGCCAGGTCCTGAGGGTTGGCCATGCGTGCTGCCCGCAAGCGCTCTCGAGCAAATACCAGCTCCCGGTTCAGCGCAAAAGCGGCCTGGACAATCTTTTCCGCGATCTTCTTTTCTAATACCCGACGGATCAGATGCTTGAGGAAGGGCTTCGTCAGCCAGAGAAGCCATTTCCACCTGCTGCGATGGACCTTGTACTCCAGCTTATGGACCCGCACCCGCACCCCACGGAGAGTGAAGATGTGGTCCAGACGCTCCCTCCCCACCTCGATGTCTAGGGAAATGTCGATCCCGCGCTTGTCCAGGTAGAAGCTGGCGATGCCCTCATCTCGTAAATGGAACAGAAGGCCTGAATGGGCGCGGAGCCAATATCCGAATTCCGTCGCACTGATATTCAGCCCACATACGGTTGCCGTGAAGGTCGTTTTGATGTCGGTTGCGGTTTTCTTGGAATGCTTCTTCAGGATATCAATGTCATTGCGCGTGGTAACATGCATGCGGTATGGGAGAAACGAGGAGTAATGGACGGTATGACCTGGTTCCAGGATCAGACTTTCCAGCAGCAGATCGACCTCAGGTGCAGAGATCTCAAGGCGCGGGATTGGGATATATTGGATGGTGCGGAGAATCAGTGGAAAGAAGACTTCCAACACGTCCGCAGGGAATTGGCTCTCTCGACTATGGTAGCCGTCCCACGCATCCTTGTACAGCTTGTTGGTCGCGTCGACTAGTTTCGACACAGCTTTGTCATGAGGGACCGTCCGCAAAGCCCGTTTGGCCTGTGCCAGAAATGCATCCACGTCCTGGCGTAGGTTGGATTCCTTCTCCAATTGCTTCGACTTCTCAGTGAGCTCATCGATCTTCTCTTCGGCCGAGTCGAAAAATTTGGGATCAGTCAACATTTCCTCGATCAGGGCACCGGTCTCAGAGACGAATTTCTCAAACTCTGGATCTTTATTTGCATGCCGCAGCACCTTTTCAAAGCGCTTTTCCAGGGTCTTCCATTCCTCAGCGTCGCCAAATGATTGGAGCAACAGCCAAAATTGTTCCATTGCCTGCTTGAGATCCACGTTGACGTCGACTTCTTCCTCTGCGGCGGCGACAACATCCGAAGCGGCGTTGGCGTAGGCTGTGGCATATCGCCCTAGCAGCTGGCCCAGAGTGGCCACCGAATCTGTGTAATCAGAACGGTCCCGAAGATTGACAACGGTTTTCTTCAGCCGATAGAGTAAGGCTTCCTTTTCTTGCCCCGCTAGGTGCTCTTTAGCACTGTGGATCGCGTCTTTACCCGTGCGGGAAACTCCGTTGCGGGCGACCTCTGCCACGTGGGCTGCCTCTTCGCGTAATTCCTCGCTCCCTGCAGCACGACCCTCATCGGCACCTGCGCCTTGGATGGCCTCGACTTCTTCCTGTGACGGTTGGAGCTCGTCGCCTATTTTCTGCGAGGTCTTGGACAGCGAGAAGGCCGTGTCGGAAAAGATCTGACGGCCGACGGTGGTCAGGTCGTCAACAAAAAGACGGAAGTCTGCATTGGTTAGGAGTAGGCTTCCCACGGTGCGCAGGCTATCATAAGCTAGACCACATCCGTTAGCTGACTACTATTCATGCCCGGTGAATCCACATGCCGATACACGAATAGAAAGGGAAGGGAAGTCGGTACCCGCTTTGGTGTCCGCCCTTGCCTTGGTATGGTTGGCTCGCTGCTGGATCTTGTTGGGGTCGATGGATGCATTGGAACGAGAGAGGTGCCACAGGAACTCCTGCAGTTTATCGTCTCCGTTCTTTTCCTGTAAGAGCTCGATGAAAAGTTGGATCCAAAGTCGACAGTCGCGAACAATCTGGCGACCGAAGGAGCCGACATCATGGGTATGAGGCGACAGGATATCGGAAGCCAACAACGTGCGCAGATTGATGATTGTCTGATCCGTAGATGGCATGTACCCATCGGAAAGGGCACGGATCATCTGATAGGTGTGTAATTTCTGATGCAGGCGACGCTGAAGGGTCGTGTCCTCCCGGTAGCGAGGGAGGAGGGGCTCCGTCTCTCCTTGCGGCATGGTGGAGGATGCCTGGCGTGCTGCTTCGGTGTCTGGAGAACGCAATATCGACTGGTTGATGGTAAATGTACACGACGAGCTGAAGGGAAGGGAAAGAATCCACAAGTCCGAGCGACCGGGTGATGAGGAGTAAGTGGGAAAGAGGGGAAGGTGACAAGCAGGTTGGCTGATTCGAGAGGAGTTTCCCGGTTGTTGTTGCATGTCTCGATCACGGGCCTGCGCCAATCACCATTGCGTCACCGCTGCTGCCGCGCTGTCCCAGTCAGGTGACCGGCACCATTGTCCTATCATTCTTCCTCTGCGCTCATTTCTCAGGACAGTAGTACCTACTAGTAAGCAATTCCAGTTACTACTACTACGAGTAGTATCTCGTCGCAATAGTCTAAAGCAACGGCGGGGTTATCAAAACGTCAGCACGTCTAGAAGCATTGTCTGCGCCGGTACAACTGCCATAGGAGGCCCGACCCTGGACTCGATGAAATCGTTCACTAATAGACAACTTCCTTCTCGATTGCCAGCCAAGCAGACCCGGGATTCGTTTGTAATTATGCAAGGCTTCCTTATCCCCAGCCCGTGGAAGAAGACGAGATGCAATGAAACAATGGCATCGCAGTCAAAGTACCACTCCTCCTTGAACAACGTAAGGGCAAACGAGTCCCTTGTCGACTAACGGCCTGTACAAGGACTGAAGACACTGTGGTATGACTGTTGCCTGCTCGGAAGGGTTAGCAGATACCCGCGGAGTATTTCGTCCTATCCCAAGTGACCACCGGTCATCGTGCCGCCATGCTGACTCCATGTCCAACATTGCACCATCTGGATTATGATCAGTTCACTGTAAGATATTGTCGCACATCTCAGATCTTCTAATGGGTTAGTAACAGCTCATGGTCCAAGTAGTTGAACCTGCACCACATGGTCCAAGCAACCCGACGCCTCCTTTATGGTGCCTAGCATTGCCGATGTATGGCAAATGCCACCCGTGGAATTCAGGGAAGGAATGATCAGCGCCAGCCAAGCTTTGTGATCTATGCAGTTCGAATCTGGGGCTGCGAGGGGAACTGCTGAAGTGGGTAACCGGTCAAGGCTTGCGTGAGGGTGTGGAAGGATGTGCGGGATGAAGTACAAACTTCAGCCACCGCATCGAAGCGAGGGACCGCTGAGCATAAGAATAAACAGCTCATGCCATCAGGGTTCAATGGCCCGGGAAATCGCTCAATGACTCAATGCAGTCCACGCCCTGCGATTAATAGTATATTGTGATGAGTCGGGAGTAATTAGTTCTCACGCGACAGTATCGGCAAAGGCGCCAATGGGGTGGAGTCTAGAACCGAGATTCGAGAGGTGAACTACGAGGTATATTCTTAGCACTAGCAGTGCACAAGGATCATCATAATGGCCACGCACTAGCTTCCACTAGACAGGCCTAGTTCCACGATAATTGCTCGTTTCGCATTAATAATGCGACGAGCCTCGACCTTGAAAATGAAGCACACGAATTTTGCGTGCTTCCGACGGAGACAGCACGGTGCACGAAGATACTGCTAATTATACCCCGCTCCACCGCAGTTGAACCAAAGGTGGCCAATCATACCGGGAGATTTGCTACTTCGGGTACTGACTGGATATTGGCTGGATGGCTGGATTCGGGCCATGCTACGGAAGATTTTCGCAGCTGACTCCATCGGAGGCTCCATCGGTCGGGACCGATCGGCGAGGCACAAGGCCGTTTGAAGTATCAACCGATTGTCATTGGGCAGCAGGAGGGTGGAATTGGGGTCGAATTGGAGACGCGGCGATAAAGAATTTTTTTTTAATTCACGCATCCTGATCGTCGCGGTCATGAAAAGTGCGGTGTTGGGAAGAAGTCTGCGACGGGGATGGGGGCGAGGGGTTCTTTTCTGCATTGCGTCTGCACCACGGAGTATTCCGGGAACGACAAATAACCAGGAGTCCTCCGTCATGGCGGGATCAGCACCGGCAATACGAATCCCTCTCGGGTGGCGAGCAAATGTGGGAGGTGAGCGATTTTGCGACCTGCCATTGAGTCTTTTCGAGCAATCGTGTAGACAGTTATCAGGCCTGCAGGGACAACACGAGTCGAAACAACATAGGAAGTATCAGGCTCTTGCAGCCGCTGACAAGACCCGAACTCGGCCATTGTCCGGGCCGCGTTGCTGCGGGGAATCCAGGCGGAACCAGCCATGGCAAAGCGTGAATAACATCCGGTCCAGAATCCTTCCTCCTTGAGTTAGACTGTTAGGTTAGGCAACTAGTTTAGTGTGTTTCTCTGCCACATGAGACTCGATCCACTGCGACCACCGCCGCGCTGGACCCTTTGCTGCTGTAGGTTAGCGTGGGCTGCGTGATTCCGACGCCTGCGATGAATCCTGACTAAATCGGCTCCACCGACGGATGAGTAAGAAAGATGCAATCGGGTTGCCATCTCGGAAATCGGGGCCCGTTGCCAGGATAGGCTGCCGTAGGGCGACGGCAATAGCTTCAGCAACCCGACCTGGGGTGGTACGTACCGTTGATATCATGGATTTGAGCACCCCATGCTAGGTTCTACACTGGGAAGGAATTCAGACTCCGGGACGGAGTCCGGAGTATATCTCTGAGCCAGTGGTGAGGTCGGATCACCCGATGAGAAAGTTGGATGAGCCAGAGGACTGACAAGTACCCCGTACAATCCAGACTGATGATGATGAACCTTTTCCGACTCGCTTCCGGCGGTCCGCAGGGCATTTTCTCCTTCCCAACAATACGGATTGATAATCATCAGGTATATGATACTGTAACTATTATCGAAGAATCAAGGGGGAGGGACCAGGGAAGTATGTCAGCTGCCACCGATCAAGGTATCAGTTCTCGACCGAAAAAAATGTGTCCCCCACTCGTACTTTTAACAGCATGGTTTTTGATTTAATAAATGAAAAAAAGAATTAAATAACAATAAGATTAAGTTGGGAAAAAAATCAGACAGAAGAAAACCAAAAAAAGAACACGAAAACACCTCATATCGAACAGGTCGTTCGGCCTGGCTGTACTCTGTGCTACAACGTAGTCGTCGTCCTGGAAGGAGAAATACCTCACGGTTCCCCCCATGCTGACGGCCTGGAGAGTTGCAACTTGCCTAATTGGCATACACCGGCCGAACAAGACCTGGTGAGAAAGTGTTTTCACTATTCAATGTGCGTGAGTGTTTTTCTTTTTCTCCGCATTTGTCGGATTCGGAGCGAGCACCCGTTGGGCTACTCCACATCCGTCCCAGAGGCTGACCCAATCCAATCCCGTTCAATTTCGTCCCCCCCCAAGCTTCGTTTCCCATTCCCACCTTTGCCCACTGCGCCCACTCTTTCCAGTTGAAACGGTTCGCTGCTATGCAACCATTGTACCCCGATCTCCACTGCACTGGTCCCGGTGGTCCTGAGTGGTCCCTTGCATCCCGATTTCTCCCGATTGCTGTCATCCCTAATCAATCCACGGCCCTGGTTCATAGTCCTGACGACCACCTCGTTAGAAGATCACGACCGCTGTTGAGACACTTGCTTGGTTGAACTTCGGCATGCGGTGGATTCCTGCTCAGGGGGGTTCAATGCGACTAGCCCACAGAGCCAGCAGACATAAAATCGCTCTGCCACCAGTCGCCTTCTCGACTCAATTGACCCTTTCCTCCTCCTCGTCCTCCCTCTCTCCTTCTTCTGATACCCTCGGTCTTCGTTCCAAGAGCATCCTGGCCGTGACTCAGCCTTCCACCATGGCTCGATTTCCCGCTCACCAAAGCCGGCCCGTTCACGCGACCTCGGCCGTGAACCATGCAGCTCCCGCGTAAGTCCTGCCGCCTCTCCTTCCAACATCTCTCGCTCTGTCTCCTCGACGTGGTGACACGGCGGATCCTGGCCACGCATTCTCTCGACGCCACTAGTTACTGACCATGTTACCCTCTTCTAGCGAGGCCAACTATGACACGGCCAACCCTGCCTACATTCGCAAGTACCTCCGCACCTACGGCCTGACTCCCCCGCGTGCGGAGTCGTACGAGACTCAGAAGACTCGCTGTGCGTACCTACAGTTCTATACATCGAGGTAGTGGTCGGGGTGCTAATGGAGATGCAGGCCTCGCTCAATTGGCTCTCAAGCAGACCGCCATCGACAAGTTCCTCTACCTCAGCACTCTCCGCAAGAACAATGTTCACCTGTTCTACCGTCTGGTCACGGACCACCTGAAGGTCAGCCAGCGTTATGGCAATGTCTTTTTCATAAGCTCTGCTAACCAGCGACTAGGAATTGACTCCCCTCATCTACACTCCCGTCGTTGGCGAAGCCTGCCAGAGATGGTCCGAGATCTACCAGCAGCCCGAAGGTGCGTTCACATCCCTGTCTAGCGTCCCTATCCCGGACTGAACCGGCCGCTAACCATGCATGATTAGGTATGTACCTGAGCTGGGAAGATCGCGGCAACCTGGCTGCTGTCATTGCCAACTGGCCCCAGCAGAACGTTGAGATCACATGTATCACCGACGGTTCCCGCATTCTCGGTCTTGGTGACCTTGGCATCAACGGCATGGGTATTCCTATTGGCAAGCTGGCTCTGTACACTGCCTGTGCCGGTATTCGTCCCGAGGCTACCCTGCCCCTGACTCTGGATCTGGGTACCAGCAACAAGGCCTTCCGGGAAGACCCGCTGTACATGGGTAGCCGCCGTGACAAGGTTACCCCCGATGAGGAGCGTGAGTTCTTGGATGAGCTGATGGCTGCTCTGACCGAGCGCTGGCCCGGTATTGTCATCCAGTTCGAGGATTTCAAGAACCCCTTCCCTGCTCTGGAGCGTTACCGTGATGTCTACACTTGCTTCAACGATGACATCCAGGGTACTGGTGCCGTCATCCTCGGTGGTGTGATCAACGCCGTCAAGCGCTCGGGCCTTCCCTGCAAGGAGCACAAGGCCGTCTTCTTCGGTGCCGGCAGTGCCGGTGTCGGTGTTGCCAAGCAGATTGTGGACTTCTTTGTCCGCGAGGGCATGACCGAGGATGAGGCTCGCGCCTGCTTCTACCTGGTTGACACGAAGGGTCTCGTCACTGCTGACCGTGGTGACAAGCTCGCCGATCACAAGGTCTACTTCGCTCGCACGGACAACGACGGCCTCCAGCTGAAGACCCTGGAGGATGTTGTTGACCACGTGAAGCCGACCATCCTGATGGGTCTCTCCACCATGGGTGGTGTCTTCACCCCCGAGCTCCTGCGCAAGATGGCCGAGTGGAACACCCACCCCATCATCTTCCCTCTCTCCAACCCCTCGTCCAAGTCCGAGTGTGACTACGAGAGCGCCGTCACCAGCACCGATGGCCGGGCGCTCTTCGCTTCCGGCTCTCCCTTCCAGCCTCTGTCGTTCACCAACTCTGCTGGTGAGACGCGCACCTACTACCCCGGCCAGGGCAACAACATGTATGTCTTCCCCGGTATCGGCCTGGGAACCATTCTCTGCAAGGCCGTCAAGGTCACCGACAGCATGATCTACGCCTCGGGTGAGGCTCTCTCCAAGGCTCTCACTGCCGAGGAGATTGACCGTGCCCTTCTCTACCCCGACCTGACCCGCATCCGTGAGGTCAGCGTGGTGGTGGCCCGCAACGTCATCCGCGCGGCCCAGGAGGCCAAGGTCGACCGCGAGACCACCCTCCGTACGATGAACGACGAGGCCTTGGACGCCTGGATCAAGGCCCGCATGTACAACCCCCACACCGAAGTCTTGGCTTTGGAGCGTGAGGTTGGCTCCATCCTGGCTAGCCTGGGACCCAGCGCCTTTGCTCTGGAGTCTCTGAGCGAGGAGGACAAGAATGCCAAGCTGTAAGCTTGCGCCTTTTCTCCTTTCTTCTCAAAAATACTGGCTTGTCCAGCTTGGCTTGGTTTTGTTTTCGAGCGCGTTTTGTTTCCCGAATCCCGCTTGGAAGGATGTGCTTCTTGTATACCCCCATTCTTTCACGGATTCTGACACTCTTAATGACGATTCTGTTGTCGGATACCCGCGATGTTGGACTAGGTTTTGGTTAGCTTAGAACTGTCTCGTGTTGGGTAAACCGGATGATTCAATGATCCTATTTCTCGGGCTGGTTTCCTGCTGTTGATGTAGATGCTCGTAGCTTTTCCATCCAGACCTCGCCTGTAGTCATGATAGACTTGCTAGTTCCTCGGTTCACGGCCTAATCATCAGCATTGCTATCTTTGTGAGCATTCCTGGCTAGCACTGCAGCTGGTCATGTGACGAGGCCATGTCCGGCGGGGAATTTGTCCGGTGAGTCGAGTCTTACTCCATACCTGCTTATTCTCTTCCTATCTGACCCGACATCCATGCTCATCAATAGATCCCTGTCCTCCGCTGCATCCAGACGCGTCAGCCCGAGAATTACCTGAACGTGATATCGGCTCAGACCTAGGTCCCCCGAGCACTTACATGTGAAGTGGAGATACGACCAGCCGACCCCAGACGCAGGGTCCTCCGTCGGAATCCGTCCAAATAAGCTTATGCAGACTAGGGAAGCGTTGCAGCGCGCGCCGGCACGTCAGATCGGCGATGGAATCCGCTCATCGATCGGTTCCACCTGCACGAAGCGGGGAATTGGTGGCCCCAGACGATGCTGGAGACTGGACTATTACTTGAACTGGCCTGGACACTGGACAGCTGTCAGACGATCGGTTCCACGGGCGGATTGGGCCTGCACAGGCCGGGTGGTCGGAGGCGCATCCCGATGTCCGGCTATCTTGACCGTGAATATCCGGTTGCCCGAGGTTGGTTACCCGGAGGGTTTTTTCCCGACATTCCATGGTACTTAAAAGCTTGCATGGCTAGCTGCTGCTGGTCGGGTGGTCTTGGGTTGTTATTTCCTCGTGAGGCGTAGTGATGGGGTGGGTTTTTTTGGTAATTGTGCATCTGTAGGCGTGGCCGGACATAGTCATGGCCTTAAGTCGGGTCGTTCAATGTGGTAAGGTAGGGATACATAGACATCCTTATTCCGTATTCATGCCTACGGACTCATTTCAAGTAAATCTGCTGCTCTTGCTGTGCTACAACGGACCATTGCAGAGGGTGACGTCTAACTCGACGTCGATAAGCATCTGCAGAATCTTGGCTTCGAGCTAACGGCTTCTCCACCTGCACCATCTATACTTTCCACGTGTGAGACCTCGGCTGATTTTCGGGCCGCCGGTGACTTTTCATGGAGAGATCCCCATTTTCATCCCAATCAACGTTCCTCTTCGGTCTGATCACACCATGGCGTCCCTGCATGAGTCCGTTCGACTTCCCTGCGGCTTGGTCTTTCCCAACCGCCTAGCCAAGGTGGGTTGGCTCATTTTGACCATGATCCCCATCTGACTAATTCCAGGCTGCCATGGCCGAGTCGCTGGCGGGGTCTGTCAATGCCCCGACACCGACGTTGCTCGAGGCGTATAACCAATGGAGCCAAGGTGGCTGGGGTGCTCTTCTTACCGGTAAGTGATATACCATAGAATTGTAGGAAGATGCTCATCAAGATCAGGAAACGTCCAAGTAGACGTGGATCATCTCGGTACCCCGCGTGATGTTGCCCTGCACGCTGAATACACCGGGAAAGAAGGCAACGAAGCACTCGTGGAAAACTGGACTCAATATGCCCAGACCTGCCAGCAGCATGGCACCCCGTGCATCGTACAGGTCTGTCATCCCGGCCGACAGTCGCTTCGGTTTGCGGGTCGCCGAGGTATCTTTGCGCCGCCAATTGCACCGAGTGCTGTTCCTATGCAGATGGGAGACGGCTTGGTACAGCGACTGATTAACTGGCTCGTTTTCCCTCCGCCTCGTGAGATGACCCAGGCCGATATCGACCGCGTTACTCGTCAGTTTGTTGACGCGGCCCGTCTGATGGCCGATAGTGGATTCGCTGGGATTGAACTGCACGGTGCCCACGGTTATTTGATTGGTATGTTTTGTCTTCCTGTTTCTGAGGTGTCGCTGATAAACAGACCAATTTTTGAACTCCAAGGTATGATGGCCAGCTGTCTACAAGGCCGAGCTAATTGCATAGTCCAACAAACGAACCGATGCATACGGCGGTTCGGCCGAGAACCGAGCCAAGTTTGTCGTGGATATGATTCACGCCATCCGCGAGGCCGTGCCTCCGACATTTGCCGTTGGCATCAAGCTCAACTCCGCTGATCACAGCTCGTCCACATTCGAAGACACCATGACTCAGATCCAGCTTCTTACGGAAGCGGGAATCGACTTTCTCGAAGTCAGCGGCGGCAGCTACGAGAACCCAACTGTCTGTCTCACCTCCTTTCTGTGAATCAAGACTGACGTGATTAGATGATGGGACCTGAGAAGAGCCAGCGCACGGTTGCCCGTGAAGCGTTCTTCATCGAGTTCGCCACCGAAACCCGCAAGCGATTCCCGAATCTTGTACTCATGTTGACGGGTGGTTTCCGGACTCGTGCTGGCGCCGAGTCGGCCCTGAAACAGAATGCGTGCGATGTGGTTGGGATTGGCCGTCCGGCGGCGATCAATCCTAAGCTGCCTCTGGTCCTCTTGGATGAGAGCATCCCGGACGAGGAGGCTCAGTTGATTCTGAAGCGGGTTCCGATGCCATTCCTGGCACAGCTGCTCTCGTTGAAGGGCGTGGGTGCAGGGTTGGAGTCGGTAAGTTTATCCCCCGTTCGAGAGGCGTGGTACTAATGGTGTAGAGCTTTTATGCGAAACAGATCCGGCGGCTTGCCATGGGGCTGAAGACTTTTGTTCCTGCTTGAGCTTATGTATGTTGTGTATAATAGGGAGTGGTTTAGATAGAGCTATAGATATTGCCATCGCTATCACCTGGTTTTCTCGTTGGTGTGCATTCGGCGGTTAACCTTGCAACTGACCGAACAGCTGGACAGTGATCTGTCAGTCTGTCAGACGATCTTGTCTTGAGCCTGGAACCCAAGAGATATGCATGATACTCTACCAACACCCAGCAACAGCCACAAATCTATCCGCACCATAATTGTGACATGGCTTGTACTACCAGCCCCAGTCCACTTACCCGGGCAGGTCCACCTCTAGTAGCCTCTTCTATAAGGTGGCACCTATAGTAGTGTCGGCTCTTAGGCCAATGTCATTCTATCATCATACTCTCTTCATATCGTTTTTTGTCAAGGCCACTACCACGTAGACTAAAAGGATATACCCCTTCTAACTACTGATGTAGAAGGCATAAGGATGTCCCAACATGTTTCGTGCTAGCTGCCACTGGTACTTGACAACCTCGACAGTGACTCCAACCACGAGTGATGGCCACATTCCCCCATGGGCAGTGAACAAACCTACTTTACCCGATAAACGAGATATCAGAGCACATTCTGTACATCAAGCACTACTGAAGATAATCACAAGCAGAGAACCATGTACGTCGAATATAAGTTCTGACCACCACTGCACCCAACAAGCCACCCCGACAACACCCACCTCTCACCGCCTGCCCTACCGCCCGGCATCCCACCAACCAACACCCCTCAAACCTGCCCACCCATCCATTTCACCAGCAGTAACCAGCGGTACTCCCGTAGTAAAAGACTCAATCCTATCCAAAATTTTCTCTTATCAGAGACCGGCCTCAACTCTACCACCACCACCCTTACCCCCCCCCACCCCCTCCACCTCACCCCCGACCTTCAAGACCAAACGTATCAAAATGGTCCGCACCCTCAAACACCACGAAAAAAAACTCCTCCGCAAAGTCGACTTCCACACGTACAAATCCGACAACAACCACCGGGAATCCCTAATCCGAACCCGCTACCACCTCCAAGACCCCTCCGACTACCGCAAATACAACCAACTATGCGGCTCCCTGCGCCAACTCGCACATAAACTCTCCGAGCTGGACCCCGAGACGGATCCCGTCCGGAAGAAGCTCGAGAGTGAAGTCCTGGAGAAGTTATTCCGGATGGGGATTTTGAAACAGAGTCGCGAGCAAGGGGCCGGGTTGTCCAGGGTGGAGAGGGAGGTTACGGTTAGTGCGTTTTGTAGGAGGAGATTGGCGGTTTTTATGGCGAGGAGTGGGATGGTGGAGAATGTTAAGACGGTATGTTTTTATTCCTCCCTTTTTTTTTTTTGGTTCTGGTTTTGGGGGAAGGGCTTGGGGGGAAGAGGTGATGGTATGCTAATGGGGAATAGGCGGTTACGTTCATCGAACAAGGCCAGGTACGGGTCGGGACTGAGGTCGTTACGGATCCCGCGTATCTGGTCACGCGCAATATGGAGGATTTCGTTACCTGGGTGGATAGTAGTAAGATTAAGCGCAGTATTATGCGCTATCGGGATAATTTGGATGATTTTGATCTGTTGTGATCGGATACCCATCTATGTTATTATTGTTTCTGGGTTGTGCGGGCGTTGGTAAAAGTTTATTTATCCTATGGTTATGAATGGATTGTTTACGTGGATGGTTCATTGGTATACTGAGTATTGTGCATGGGTAGTGGTAAATTCTATGGGTATCAATGCAAGACGCTAGGTATCATCACAGACGGTTGCTCAGTCGATGCATGGTCCATTTTCGGGTGAGTTTAAAGCCGCGCGGCAACGTGCTGGTCCCGGTTTTGGTCTCGCATGTCTCTTCGGGAATCTCCATGCGGAATCGTCGAATACTCCCCTCGTAGTTCCCCTTGCCGTTTTTGCCTTCTTCGAAGAAGGGCGTGCGGTTGTCGCCGAACTGACACCACCGGGGCGCCACCCGTCGCCAGAACCCGCGCACACCGCTACTGGCTCGGTCGATCTTTTCGTACTCGCGGCGTCGGGTGGAGGGCGATGTCCAGTCGATCACGGTCGTCGTGGGTGCGAGTGGAGAGGGACAGGTTGCCTCGTAGGCGGAGAAGGTGGACGCACGTAGGGGAGGTCGTAAGGGCTCATCCTGGCTGGGCTGCCCTTGGTAGGTGGAGATGGACAGCTGGGTTCGGAGTGTAGGTGGGGAGCTGGCGTTGGACGAGGAGCGAAGAGGGCGCGGTGGGGTACGAGGAATGCTGGACGATGGAGGTCGCGATACGCGTGGACGTGGCTTTGAGGTGGAGAGGCCGTCGTCCTGGAAGAGACGGCAGGATTCGCGATGGAGAGCGATGAGGTCCTCGCGTCGGGCAGTTGCTGGGGTGAGAGAAGTCGTAGCGGAGCGACGGTGTGAACTGTGTCGACTATTGGGGGTGGAGCGGCGCGAATGGCGAGAGCGAAGTTGTTCCGGCGATGGAGGTGAGACGGTTCGCTTGCGCTTGGTCCGTCTGTCAGATGGGGAGGACGACGGAGTGTTCTTAGACGCTTCGCTCATGCTGTCTGATGGCTCATCGACGGTTTGGTCCAATACAGTGGGCGAAGTGCCTGCACCCACAGGGATTCCAGTGGAGTCGTTCACACCGGGTGAGACGATCTGAGTGGTGATGAGAGAAGGGACTTTTGTATGCTCTAGCACTAGGCTGAGCGATGCGGATGGATGGGTGGAATGAACCCCCGGGAGACGGAGATCGGGGCATGTGAACGTGGCAGCCATGTTGCTGGTGCTTGTGCTTGCGCCTCCAGGGCCGAGAACACTGAAGAATGACGCGGTCCAGCCGATTCACATGCTCTGCCAAATGGCACCAGTCAGGAGACAGAATGCGATCAAAAGCTGGTCATGGCTTGAGGACGGTTTATAATCCCGGGAAGGCGAAGGAACGATGGATTGATCAATCAATCAAGAAGAATGCTTTAAAGAGGGTCTGCGATGACTTGGATGTCAGGAGGACGGCCGATTAGATTAGGGTTCTGAGAGAGGAGTCGACGAATGACGAGCAACACGAGCAGCACGCAGGATGACCTACCGAGACGCTTAGGAGGGGTCACGTTGGAGTGAGAAATCGTTACTCGTTAAGAAGTCAGCTAGGAGCGGTAAATGAGAGACGGAAGATCGACAGAACGAGGCTGCAGGAGAATGCTCAAGGAAGGGATGAGGAGGTCAGGAGAGGTCGAGACAGGTCTTATAATAACCCGCCGACATTCCAAGCGCTGCCACCCTCTTTGGCGGCAGACCAAACCGGTTGAATGGGACTAGTCGGAGTGGGAACTGGAGATCGCATCTACTGTGACCAGACAATGCCCCAAACAATCAAAAGCAGCTGGCCTTTCAGTCTTCCCTTTCACTTGGGGCCCAATCTGTGGCCGGTGGAAACCTCCAAGCCCCCGCAGTCGCAGTCGCCCGAAAGTTAAAATTCATTATATAGTGCGATAGGTCCAAAGGCCCGACTACCTTTTGCTTGCTCGGTTTACAGCGGGGCATGTCACCCGCGCCTGCTGCTGAGATCCCCTGCATGCACCAATCCCGCCCTGGCAAATTTCCTCATATTCGACGTCCCTGCATGGAACGAGTGAGCACCAATGGCTGTCCAGGGGAGTTCCCAGTAGCCCTACCTAAATCCTTTCCCCTCCGTACTACCCTCTAGTATCTATTTAGTATCTATTTAGTATCTATCTAGTATGTATCTAGTACCTGCTAGGGAAGAATGATTCTCCTCCTTGCTGGCCATTCGGGATCCAGACTGTCTCCATTCGTTCCCTCGCGCCGTCCCATTGGCCCCCCATCGCCCCCACCTGCCAATGTGCCAACCAGCCAATCTCCGGTCCCGCGCCCCACCTCGAGGTCCTGTCATTGGTCAGTCCAATTCACCGCCAGTTATCAAGAGCGCAATCGGCCTGGCAGATCGTCGAGTTTGGTACTCACCGTGTGAGGTTACTCGACAGAGTATGAGTCGAAGGGAAAAGATCGACGAGATAGATACTACGATGTCGTGGATGAGGACCGGATCTGGTGTTCCCTGATGTCTCAACACTGAAGCGCTGCAGTGGAACTCCACTGACGACGCGATGCCTGCAGATTACTTATTCCCTCAGCCAACAAGCTCCCGCATGCAGACGACTGTCGCAAAATTGGGCACACACTCTTGGCTCGTGATACTTGTGACCGACCAGCGCCTATAACAAAGTTCGTTTCTTCAAATCATGCCTAGGATGGCGGCGCTATCTGCTAAACCACCTGCAAGCCTGTTTCACTTACCGCCACGTTCAGCTATAGCACACCGACTGGTTTTGACCAGAGACGCCGTAACTCACACCTCATATCGTCTGTAACTGTATCCAACAAGTCACATCCAATAGACTGAGATCATGGAGAACCCCCGCCAAATAATCTCCGAACTGCACGGCCAACGTCGATCTTGGCTTTGGGCCACTAGTGACATCTTGGCATGCCCTCCGCTCCCGCGGGCGGTTTGTACGTTGTCGCACTCGAGGCATCTGCCCTGTCGACCGGCGGGCAAGGCGATCGCACGTGGTGCCAGCATGGCATGGCTGTCTGCGTGGGAGAGAATCCATCGACAATGTGGCTGGCTGCTCTCTGTGGAAGGAGTCGATATCGTCGGATCCTGCATGTTGTATGTAGGAATTATCCTCGAGATTAGCATAACTTTGTCTATATAAAGAGCTAGCCTGCGCATTAGCTGGTATTGAGGACATTTAGATCACTAGATTCGTTAGATGGGTCCTGAGTAATTCAACTCGCTCGACGTTCTTTCATAGACGGTGGATATGGAAATGAGACTGTGTTACTAGTTGTGCTCTACTACGAAATGATAGCAAGCCTATTACATAGTAGTTGATCGGCTGTTCCGATAGTTTCCGTGGTAGGAGTTACTAGGTTGGTCCGATACCGCCCGAGTAAGGATGTTTTAGGGACCACCGTGTCTATGAACAGACCGGGCTCTTTCCATCCTCTCCAAGCCTTTAGGCTTTTTCTGGAGTTCTCTCATCTTCGTGATTGTAACGATAGCCATCAAATACTATATCTAGCTGGTTGCTAGGATACGGTATACTTGTGCCTGAAACAAAGTCTGGATCTCGGTTGTGTACCATGGAACCGCATCAGCAGGAACTATATCGCCTGTACTGTGTAGTTCGGAGTCATGCTTCTATTTTTGGTAGGATCCATCTCTTGATGGACAATAACATGGGATCGTGCTGCAGGAGCTACCATGCATGTGCAAGTTCTTGGTAGACCCGATGTGGCTACTCTAGACGATACATGGTCCTCCAATGGTCTGCTCGGTGCGTAAAGCAAGCTCGCTCCAAGTAGGTGAGTCAAGACCATCTTGACTATGAGGCATCACTGGCTGGCCAGGCCTAGCCGGTCTAGCTGGCGACAGTCTGCGTAGTCCCTACGCAAGTTCCTTCCTAGGCGATATGACCTCAACCTGTAGTGTATGGCTTCTGTATACTATTGCCATGACTCACAAACGTCTTGTAGCTTGAGGCATGGAAGCTCTTTCCGGTGACTCCTTCTTCTAGATCGTAGGCCATTGCTTCTTCTTGAGGCCATTCCGTGGTACTTCCAGCGGCGAGTCCCTCAAATTGCTGGGAACCTCCCGTCACATTCACTGCTTCACCACTCCCCGTGTTAGTACTCTTGAGTCACCCTCCACCTCTTCCACGGTTTCCTCCGCTGCTTCTCGTCAGACCCTCTGCCATGATTCACTCGCCGGCATTCCCTCAGTCTGTCATAAGCAATTTCCTGGCACTTCCCACAGGGATAAATACCCCTGCCCCTTCCACACGCTCGCGAGCTGCTTCTTCTTCTCTTTTTTCCCAAGCGCGCCTGTGGCCACTCGTCGACACCTTTCCTTGCTTTTCTATCTTTTTGTATCTTTTGCCATCTTGTACTATCTATCCCCATATAGTCACTTTCATAGTTACTTAGCTAGCTTCTTCATCGTTTCAGGTGTCGTTGGAGGACAAAGTGCCGACGTGGGCGAGGCAAGACACGGAGAAAAAACATACCCACACAAGAAAAAAAGAGGTCTGCAAAAAAAGGGGAACACGAGGCCATGAGAAAAAAAGGAGCCTGCAAAAACAAAACAACAAGAGGCACAACCAAAATACAAATCTTTCGACGGTTGGGTGGCAGGGTCGGGCCTGGGACATCGGACACTTGTCTGACTGTCGTTGACCTGACAAGGTTAGCTTCCCTCCTCATTGGTTTGACGTTAATGTGCTTGCAGGGTGTGCTTTTAGGTGACAACGGACATATCGATACTGACGACGATAGGGTGACAGGCAGTTGATCGAGCGATGCAGTGTGAGTGGCTTGATGTTAACTGATTGTGTGAGAAGATGGCTAACTTGTCAATGTGGTTGTGGTGTTTATAGCGATATACGTGCGTTCGATGTTACAGTGTACTTTATAACGGCGTGCTTTTCTTTCGATTGGATCAGACAGTGGTTTACTGTCTGTGTTGGAGCGGTTTAACAATACAACGTGTGAGTGTTTGCATCAACTTGTTGTTGAGTAGGTAGCTGATGAACAAAGTCACCGTTATAACGACATACCTTGCTTTCCATTGGATCAAATGGTTATGTGCTGTCTGTGTTGGAGTAACTTGTCAATCAACCAAGTGAGTGTCTCAGTGTCGGCTTGTGATGAGTAGATAACTAACATTGTAATGGAAGCATGATGGGCTGGATGGTTGGCTCGAGGTTGGTTGGTCGGCATGATGTTCAACACTCGCTATATGGGAAGTGTCCATTGAACAGACTACTGAGTATGGCTGACTTTTATCAGGTATCGAACAAAGCAGACCATGACAGGAGATTGGGAAGAACCACACACTGTGTGGTTCTATTCGGCATTGTTTAAAAGGAAAGTGGTTTGATCTCATCTGGCTACTGCAAGCAAAGGCTGACATTGACAGGATTATTCACCAGGCCTTGGAGGGTGGCAGGGACGGGCCTGGGACATCAGACACGCGCCTGTCCTTCGTTTTATAATGTTATAAGTAAGTTGACATTACCTTGTTTCTTGAGAACATAACTGACTTTGTAGCTTCCAAATACATATCATGGCAGGAGGATGGGATGAACCACACACTGTGTGGTTCTATTCGGCATTGTATAAAAGGAAAGTGGTTTGATCTCACCTGGCTACTGCAAGCAAAGGCTGACATTGACAGGGTTATTCCACCAGGCCTTGGAGGGTGGCAGGGACGGGCCTGGGACATCGGACACTTGTCTGTCCTTCGTTTTATAATGTTATGAGTAGGTTTATCAACTTATTTCTTGGGAGCCTGGCTGACTTACACTTTGAAGAAGCAGACTTTTGGTTGAGCTGCTGTGTTGGATTGAAACATCGAATACATGGTAAGTGTACCACTGAGGAGTCGTGGAGCTACTTGGCTAAATTGCCATTCTTTATGTTGATGTATACTAACTGACAACCTAGTTACGCTTCTCGAACAGGCCCTGGTTGGGTGGTTGGGCGGGCCTGGGACACGACTACGCCTACGACTTTGAACCGACGGGGGAGCCGATTGGATATCGACTTGGATATTCGACAGGGGGATCCAACAGGGTACGACAGGGTATTCGACTGGGACTTCGACTGGGGCTAGGGACTTCGACTGGGTTATCGACTTCGACTGGGGGCTTCGACAGGGAATTTGACAGACTGGGGTATCGACTTGGGACTGGATTACAGAGGAGTCAACAATCGGCTGGGGAACGGCAAATTCGACTGGGATCGATTTGGGATCAACAGCCGATCCAGGGCTCAACAGTGGACCGACAATCGACTTGGGGACGACACTGGGTATAACATTCTGACTATACTAATATCTAGGCTTAGGGTACCGACACACTTTCGAAACAGGCCTACGGTAGGGTGGTTGGGCTGGGCCTGGGACACGACCTCGACAACCTCGACGACAACCTCGACGACAACCTCGACAACCTCGACAACCTCGACAACCTCGACAACCTCGACAACCTCGACAACCTCGACAACCTCGACAACCTCGACAACCTCGACA